GTTAAAACATTTTCATTTTTGGAGGTCATTTAGGTCATTAGAGGTCGTAAGAGGTCATTAGAAGGTCAAACACTGGATTTGTTGCTGCTACTGGATTCCCTGGGTTCCCAGCTTTCGTTTGATATGCATTAAGCCATAGTTGAAATATTTTCTATTGGTGGAGGTCATTAGAGGTCATTAGAGGTCATTTGAGGTCATTAAAGTTCAATTTGATTTTATTATAGGAATTTCGAACCCTAATTAGGCGTGCACCCAAAAAATTGGAAGATTTGAACCAAAAATGAAGGCAGGGCCCCCCCCCCCTACATCAAATGTGCCAACTCCACCATCCCCTTTTTAAAAACCCTAAAATGACGGGATTTGGTAAGTCACTGACAAACGGTGAAGTTATTGTATGGTACATTTTTAAATCATTCAATGAATGTGTTTCGTCCAATAGGATATGGGGAAAGTAATAAGGAAGAGAGAGAAGGAGGGGATAGGGGGGGAGGGGTTATTAAGGTCAACCAAAATTTATTCTGAAATTCATGATTAACAATTGTACAAAGAACATTCAAATCTCAGAAAAAATAGTAGATTAAATTTGGAGATCAAAAAAAGAGATTAAAATGGAGATCAAATCAAATATGTCAGGAAACTAGATCAATGTTTTATTTTAAATGCGAGATTTATAAGATTTTTTTCCGTAGACACCTATCAACAACAAGAATGCCTAGATTCCTCTTTTGAAGAAGCCCGGTCAAGAATTAGGTAATTATTAGTTTTGACGTTGATTCACGATTTCGCTTCGTTTACTTTACCTCTGGGCTCATCACTTGCATTAAAGGGACTATCTAAGTAAATTCAAGTGACCCTTTATATTAGTTTTTCCATGTCCAAATAGTACTTTTTAAATCTTTTTCCTCCAGGAAGAAATCGTCGTTTCGTTCTCTTTTAGAGAGATAAATTCTAAACGAGAAACTGCAATAGAAAATGATTGTTTTTAGATCCGAAAAACAAGAACATCTCCGTCATTGTGAATCGTGCTGTTGGTGTACTGTTCCTTTAACATGTATATATTTCAGCACCCCTGTGCCTGAAGTTTTGCCGGAGAATTTAGTTGATCCTGAACCTGAACCTGAACCTGAACTTGATCCAGGTCAACCCTCAAAACAGAGTTTGAAGCCTGTTCAGCCCGTATTAAATCCCACCCAGGTACTGATTCTGGTACATAATTTGTATTAAAGACTGAAGTCCACATAGGCAGAAAAAGAGAGTATCGATAAATACAACTCCCGAGTTTCCTTAATATTTGTGGAGATTTCGATGAGAGAATATGAAAATGACAAGACTAAGGAAAAAATAATTGAACCTAAAAACGAAATTGTCTTAACCCATTCAGGAAATCCTGGTTCCAATACCGGGGTTTTTGACGATACTCTGCACTGTCTTAAATTTTGGGCTCTGATGTACATTGTACAGTGCACATAGAACTAAGTATTGACTCGCAGTTGTACCATATCCCAATCCCTACCCATGAAAATATATTCTCTTCGAAATAGATTTTTTTAAAGAAAATAATAATGGGAAAAAGTTTTAACTTTTTTTTAACTTGTAAAATCTAAAGATAATTTTACAGGGATTCTACAATTTACAGGTTTATGTTTAGTGAGAAAATATGTAATTATAAGATCGAGATAAAATCTTTACCTACATTCTACGCATATTTGATCTTTGAATTTTTTTTCAAGATGGGGGGATATTATAGATATCAGGAACCATTGTTTTTTTTAAAAAATATTTATTTCCCCAACCTCTAAAAACATGTTTAACCTAATAGGAACCAATACCTTCAGCTCCCTCTGACTCCACAGAGCAGATTTCTTCCAAAAGCAAAACTCCTGCAAACGAGGTTCTAGCACCACAGAGTATTAAATCGAAAAGGTAGTTCTGATTTAATCGTTGATTTGTAAAAAGGAAATATTGGCAATCTTCATTTAAATTAATCTAAAGTTGTTAAAATATTTATTAAAATCGTTTATTAGAATCAAACCATTAATACTTACAACCCATTCTTGATCATTCAGGACAATTTTGATTATACTACTTATTTCTGCCTAAATAGTTTCAACATTTTCATTCTGAAAGCTGAAGTGGGGTATTTCAATACGAATGTTAATGAAGTTTTTAACAGTTTTTATATTTTCTTAGTTTTGGAGAAAAAGTTAATTCCAACTCTGCAACTCCTGCAGCGGCTCTCGAAACTAAATCCCCTCCTTCTAAAGGGGGTAGGTCTGAAAACTCAGAACATGACAAAACTCCCAGTGCTTCAAGTGACACCCTGAGCCAAGAACCCCGGAGAAACCGGAGAAAAGTTACAAAGCCTAAACACAAGAACGATATGTCGGTGACATCGGAAGGAAATGTCTCCGGGATGGCTGGCAGTATATTGTCCAAACTTGTAAACCTCTCCAGCAGTAAAACGCTGAGTCCGAAGGGGGTTGAAAAGGCTGCGTTACCGATGTTAAAAAATCATAGTGAGGAGAAACTATTATCAAAAAGCAAATCAGCAAGTCGGCTCCACAAGCTTATTAATATTTCGGCAAAGCACAAGAAGGACAAAAGTTTTGACACATCGGAGAATAAAAATAAGAGCGAAGATGAAAGCTGCAAAACCTCTGACAATTCTGCGGATATTTCTACTTTTCAGCTTTCTCTTAAATCCCTCGTCACCGCCAGAAAACCTGGAAAATCTACGAAAAAGAATGCGAGTAAACAGCCCCCGGCAAAAAAGCGTAAAATTGTCGAAGAGCATGAAGATGTTGGTGATCATGATCGTGTAACACCTGACATGATTCTTAGTGATATCATTGTTGAAGAAGAAGAAGATAGGACGGATTCAATCGTTGAGGATTATCCAGGGTTATGCGAGACTGACGAAGCAATAGCGCGGTCTATCCTTCGGAAAAATGGAAATGGGAAGTTCAAGAAAAGAGCCAAATTTTGCGGCCGATGTGATGAGTGTAAAAAGAAATGCGGGACTTGTAAGGTAATTTTCTTTCACATTAATTTTGCTGGTAAATTGACGATTTTGTGGGAACGATAATGCGAGTTTTTAACAACCCTTCTATATATAAATTTGGCTTGTCTGTTTGTCTGTCTGTCTGTCTGTTTGTATCCAATAAACGTCAAAACGGCTGAACCGATCGGGCCCAAATTTTTTGTGGGACATCTAGGGACTCCAGGGAAGGTTTATGAATCATCAAAATTTCAAATATTTGTCTCCATCAAAATTCGATCGTCATTAAACTTTTTAAAATTTTGAAAATCCGCGAAATTTTTTGTGAAAATCCGCGAATTATTTTTGTTTTGTTTTACTATGTACACAAAGAGAACATGTTCACAATTAATTTAGGAGATGGGCGCGAAGCGCCCTCTAAGGCTAGAAAGAAGGGCGCGAAGCGCCTTGAATTTCTAGTATTATAAATTAGGTCATGAAAATCTGCTATAATCAAGGCTTCGACTAAAACTTTTTAGTTCTCTTTTGGTTGTAATGCAACGATTAAATGTTTTAATTAATAATGTTTTTTAGAACATACAATTTTTAAAAACTTTAAACAAAAGGTTCTGATTGTGATTACATTATGAATTGCATTGCTGCACAAGAGAAGTAACAAGTTATAGTCGAACCCTTGATTTTGGCAGATTTTTTTTGACCATATTTTAAGAAAAGGATTGTTTTAACCACCCCCCCCCCCCCCAACAGATTTTTTTATTTCTATATTTTTGAGAACTAGAGAACCAGACAAAAAATGGCAAAATTCGTTTTTTGGGACTTTTTCATAATGGTTAATGTTCTTCAAGGAACACAAAGGCTTTTAAGGGTTCCGTTGTGAATTGGACGTGACCAATTAAGGGACTGTGTTATAAAATCTAAAATATTATTTGTTAAGGTTTGTGAGAATAATCCCTTGTTTGGAGGTTCCTGGGCCAAGTATAAGAGCAAGGGATGTTTACGTAGAAGTTGCATTTATTCAGAGGTAATATTATTTTGAAAGGGAATGCCTTTTTTATTAAATGCCGTTAGGATTTTTCAACACGGTTCGGTCAGCCCATGGATACGTTTCGGCGGCTAGGAGCGCCGACCCCTATTTCATTGAATGATGGGTTGTCCTTTAAAATTAATAATAACAAAAAAATATAAATAATTTTTTAACTATACAAAATCTGAAAACTTTTTTTTTACATTTTTCCTAGGATAAATTGATTTAATCAGATACAAATACAAAAGTTTTAATGGCATTTCAAATTAAGAGAATGAGCGAGGACGACCATCAGTGCCACCAAGCTTTCTTTCCTCAAACCCGAATTTATAAATTTTGAAACCAGCAATTTATAATTTATTATTTTTTTTGCGTACACTCCCTTTAAGATTAAATGACTGTTTAGGATGAAGTTCTGATGGAGATGGAAGTTGAACCCTTTAACTTGAAACAAATATCCCCATCTAAGGTACAACCTCCCCCCCCCAGAAAAAAAAAAATACCTAAAAGGTTTCCATAAGGTATAAAATGTGTGCAAGGATTTATTTTAATAAGGATTCTTTCCTTTTTCCCCCATGGGGGTTTCTTCTCGAAAATTTTATTTTCTGTGTTAATACTTCTCCCCCCACAAATAAATTAGTTTTCACGATGTCGATAATATATACATTTCTAATTTTACAGGATTATATACAAAGAATGGGACTTCAGAGGCGACTGTACGGAATTCAAACAGTCTGTTTCCTTAGATTTGACTCTCTGCTTGGCCTAAACTTGTTTCTTTCTTTTCGAAATTATTAAAAAGACCATCTTTAAGTCAGAAGACTTAATTTAAACTTGAATTTTTCATATTTAAAGAGTTACAGGGCGTCTTTACTGTCTCATCTCTGATATGTTGTTCTAATTGTTATCAACTTTTTTCTACAGATGCCGACTCCATCAGACAATACATCATCTGCCTTCACCACATCCACGCCGTCCGGAAGTCAATCATCCGCCGTATTCTCCGCCACCCATATTCGCACTCTTAACTTCTCCATCTCACCCAAATCTCAGGTTTTACTGAAAAATAAGTTTGCAATGATTTTTGTAATATTTTTAATTTTTGTCTCTTTCCAATCATTCATATCTTTTTTCCGCGTCTCAAAAAAATATTATTATCAATTTGGGAAATATTGCAGAAAACTGGAGAGCATGTTGAAATTAATAATTTTTTTTTTTGGGGGGGGGGATTGATTTTTGATGATTGTGAGGAGGGGGGATTTGGTTGAAAAGTTGGACATCTAATGGCAATAGTTTTCTTTCTTTTGATACGTTTTACATAAAAAAAATTGTTTATTTTCCGTAATAAAATCCATTCCTTCTGGGGAAAAAATGATTTTTTTAATGGGAAGGGGAAATGTTATTTTGAGAAAATATACACCCTTAAACTGAACTGTTATTAAGGTGTTAGATGAGCCAACTGAGACGGGTTCTAAAGAAGATTCTACAGGGGATCCTGAGGCCGGAGATAACAAGCTCCTAAGTCGTGTTCTCCGCAACTCCGGGATCAAAACCTTATCTCCACGTCCTGATCCCAGCAGTCCCATTAAAGAGATAGATTCTTCCTGGGCAACGATTCACACTATGTTCGTCAAGGACGACGAGGAAGGTAAAAGCAGTGTTTAAAGTGCGCAAAATTCAGAATTCGAGAAGGAAGTAATGTCTAAATATTATAAAGTTTAGTAAAAAGGAACCCTTTATAAATCATTTTGATAATCATTCGTTTAAACTTTTCTAATAATAAATCCTCTCATCAAATAATTTTTCTCAACATAAATTTTAAGGTTTTGTTTTACTGAGCCTTTTTTGTAATCATAAGGGGGACAAAAATCTGCAAGAAAGCTATTTTAGCTGATAATAAAAGTGCCTTTCGCAAACTGGAAAAATTAGAAAAAAATTATTTTCGCTGAAGTTTTACCCTTCCCGCTTATTTTACTTTCTGACTTATCAGGTATATTGTATATTTTTTACTCCCTGTTATTCTTAAACGTATTGTAGAACTTGAGTGTAAGCTGGAGACTGAGGACGAAGAAGAGGATACTAAGGAGGACGGAGGATTCGAAGTCGAGAATATATCTGTGGATGATCCTCTGCAACCCTCCAAGTCTACAACAGTAACGGTATTAAAATCAAGTACTGTAACAGTATCTTCCAATGCTTCTTCTGTGAATAGAATAGTTTCTAATGGTCCGATAGTTCTTACTCCAGTAGCAAACCCTCCACTAGCTGTTAGGTAAGGATTACATTTTTATTTGACAATTTTGAAGTTTTTTAGTAATAATCCTAAAATAATTTCACTTTATTTTGTCGATTTGCTTTATAATTTATTTAATTTTGGCCTCTGTAAATCTTACAATTTACATATTTGCAGGAAGTTTATGGAGGCTGCTTTACAGAAGAAAAAAGAAAAACTGGCTCTGCAAGGTTCTCAAGAATCCTTTGCTGCGACTTCAACTACTATCTCAACAGCTGTTACAACTCAACCTAACACGAACACAATTGACAAACCGCTGATAATTCCAACAAGAATAGTTCTTCCGCTCCCAGATTTTCCGGGGACGGCCGTCGCAGTGGCGAGGAAATCAGCTGTCAAGGTTTCCGCTGTGATTGAGAAAGCTTCCACGTCTGGTGGAACCAAGAGTACCCAGTTGGCAGCAGGGAGAACTATTATTGGTCCTGGAGGAATAGTGAATTTGCCAGGAAACGGGGCGAGCAGGTCAACTCCTTTAGCCTGGGATGAGAAGATCAGAGCAAGTCTGGGGGAGGCTGACAAGGATGCTAGTCATGTCTCTAAACGTGTTAAGGTGCGTGCAAAACTTGAGTTAAGAAAGATATAATCAGCTCATGAGTTAATATTTTCTTACTATATAATTTTTCCTGGTTACGCTATGTTTGTCATACATGTACGGTGTGGGGTATATTGGGTCGAGTTATACATGTCAGAAGTCTAACTTATGAAAACTTTAGACCCAGAATAGAGTTAATATCCTTGATTGATAAAATTACCAATATTTTTTTATTAAGGAATTTTTAAATTATATCTGAATTTAGGAAAGAACAATTAGAAGAGCTCGCCTCAAGCAGAAAAGGAAGAAAAGTGAGAGTGAAGAAGAAGATGAAGAGGATGAAGATGAAAATTCAAATATGGATACACTGGATACAGATTTACAGGTAACCAGAACATACAGAACCCCAATTGTGAGATTTTCTAGAAGGGGGGGAAAACTTTGTGATGGCAAATTGCTCCTGAATAAAGACGACTAAAATTACATGCATGGACAATGGACATTTTTCCAGAATGAAATCTCTAAATTTTAAAAATGTTGGAATTCTGCAAATGTCTTTATCCTAACAATTTACCAATTAATAATTTTTGAATGGAATGCATTCCTACCACCGTTATGCATTTTCCAGATAGAATTTTTTAGTTTTTTAAACAAGTTTGTTATTTTATGTTTCGTTTTCACAAATAAAATTTTAGAAGGAAATCTACGGCCTGGGAGAAACCCTGCTGCGTGACCTGGAGAAGTTCAACAACCAGGTTGGTCAGGCGGGTCAGACGAGGGGGGTAAGGCGTAGCGCACGCTTACTCTCTGCAGGACCCAGTTAGAAACTATTTTCGGTGCCAAAACCTCTTTCTTGTTGATGTCATGCCTGCCTCGCAAAAAATGGCTAAAATATTTTAGTAAATCTTTATAAATTTGTAATTTGATTTGAACTGTGTGTATATTCCCTATTTTGTATGACTTATGTTTACTTACAATATAAAATAAATTTTTCACACAAACATCAGAGTTTTAATCAAAATGTTTGTTTTATGTTTGTGACGATTTTGTTTTTAATTTTTAATTATTTATCATTTTGAGAGGGAAAAAGGCAGTTGGCAGGAAGAAAAAGGTTTTGTCGCTCTAAATAGTTTTAATTTTAAGTTCTCTGAGGCAAAAACTTTTGCGTCTCCAGTTAAGCCTGTGATTTCTGGGCTTAGCCTGATAAGATTAAAATCGGACTCAGAATTATAATTTTTTTATTTTGCGTAAATGAACTAAACTAACATCCCTGTTTAATTGAACTCGATAATTAAGAAGATTTGAATGGTAAGAACATTATGTTTTAGGGTTTAAGCGGAAAGAATGAAGCTGAGAATGTAAACCCTAAAATGTTGAAAGTTACTCCTGTAAAGACGGTAGTGAGCCTACCTAAACCTTGTCCAACCATACCCGACACCTCACCATGCAACACCTCCATGCCTATACTGACAAATACACCATTAAAACCAGTACACAACCAACACTATTCCCCTAGCCCACCTTTCAATCGTCAAAAACCATTTAAAAAACGGATTATCGAGCTTTCCTCCGAGCCTGAAGCCTCCGATAAATCTAGTTCTAAGCTGATTCTTGAGCTTTCTCCCGAACCTGAAACCTCCGATAAACCTAGTTCTAAACCTGCTCCTGATTCTACAACGTCATCTGCGGCGGAGAAGTCAACCCTTCTACCCGTTACTCCTAAAAAGCCTATGGAATTTGCCTTTAAAACCCCCCACAAGTCTCCTAGAGTGCCAAGATCTCCTGTGAGAACTCCTAAAACCCCTCGACATTTACAAGCATCATCTCTGTTGCACCTTCTCTCCCCTTCTGCTGGGTTCAGAAAAGCTGTTCCTCTTACACCTAAAGGGAAAGAAAAGTAAGTTCAAAGAGTAAAACTAGGCATTTTGCAGCTTGATAAACCTTAATGTGATTTCTTCTTAAACAGTTAAATGATTATATTATAAGATGACATGACAACATGATGCAATGATGATTTATACAATGATAATTTATGCAATGGTGACTGGATTTAATCATGACTTGATGAAATGATGACTTGATGCAATCATGACTAAAGGCAATGATGACTTGATGCAATGATGACTAAACGCAATGATGACTTGATGCAACGATGGCATGATGCAATGATAATTTATGCAATGGTGACTGGATTTAATCATGACTTGATAAAATGATGACTTGATGCAATGATGACTTGATGAAATAATGACTTGATGCAATGATGACTTGATGCAATCATGACTAAATGCAATGATGACTAAATGCAATGATGACTTGATGCAACGATGGCATGATGCAATGATGACTTGATGCAATGATGACTTGATGCAATGATGACTTGATGCAATTATGAGTTGATGCAATCATGACTTGATGCAATGATGGCATGATGCTATGATGACATGATGCAATGATGACAGTGACATGATGACATGATGCTATGATGACAAAATAACATGATGACATAGTGACATGATGACATGATGACATGAAGACATGAAGACATGAAGACATGAAGACATGAAGACATGATGACATGATGACATGATGACATGATGACATGATGACATTGACATGATGACATGATGACATGATGACATGATGACATGATGACATGATGCATGATGACATGATGACATGATGACATGATGACATGATGACATGATGACATGATGACATGATGACATGATGACATGATGACATGATGACATGATGCTATGATGACAAAACAACATGATGACATGTTGACATGATGACATGATGACATGATGACATGATGACGTGATGACATGACGACAGGATGTTAAAATAACATGAATTTTTGACAACTTTAACAAGCACAAACGAGAGATTAAAAAAGTTGAGTTGAAGTTTATGAATAAATAAATAATCAATTAATAAAAGGCGGTTGTAATTTCAAGAAGTAATTTCAAGTGAATTTTATGTTAAAGAGGCATGAAAACTTGATAAGATGCAAATACGACACTACAGTGTTGAATAGATACAGATTAACAGGGTGTAGTTGTAAATCGGGCATACCACTTTATAATAAGTTTAGGATTACTTGAAATTACGCGTCTAAAGCAACTTTGTCTTTAAGTGTCTTTCTTTAGAACACAAGACAATGATTGTTTGGAGGAGAGGAATAGACACGCTTCAAGCCTAGATACTCCTGTCTTAGACTCACCAGGAGATATTCCTCCACCCTACTCTAGTGTACGTGAACCTACAACTCCAAGAGGAGAGGGGAAAGTTTACTCTGCTCCTTACTACACTCCTTCACCCTCTACCAGGGATAGTTTTATATCATCCTCCGGGAAACCTTTAGATACTCCTGGTCTCGTTTATTTACAGGTTTGCAATTTGTACAGTACATACAGGGTTACCCACAAACAATGAGACTGTAGACGACTTAAAAAACCAAAAAAAATTGACGATTACAAGATTAAATTAAGTTGTCTGTCTTAAATATTGTCTTGAATTAGTTATTGACATGGCAAAGAAAGAAACCAGTTTAAAGTTGCAGAGAATCCTAAATATAAGAAAATAGACAGTATAAATTCTGTACAGTCGTCTCTTAAGTCTCATCCTTTTGTGAGTAACCCTGTACTTCACGCTACTATGTACCCAGTCCATTTTAGTATTTATTTTTTAAAGAGTTAAATAATTTTATTTTCTCCAATGTCAATTAGGTTAAGAAATTTAAATTAATATTAATATTATAATTAATACCGTGTTTAAAAGCGGAAATCAGTCTTCATTTAAAAAGTAACATGAGGAAGATAATATCGTCTTTAAAACAATTTGACAATGAAACCTCAATTGAAAGCATAAAAATTTAATACCACGGGATTGTATCTCTTATAGTGAATTAGGTCTACTGTCCCCTCACGGAGGGAAGGAACTGGGACCTGGGCATTTAAAAGTGCACGCTGTAATAATAATAATAGTGCACACTGTAATAATGTGCCCGTTTTTGGGAATTTTAGCATTTTCCCTAGAAACAATACCTAGATCCACAGGAATTGTTCAGCTATTAACATGATGGGGCAACATCAATTCTCCATTGCGCACCTCTTTAATACACATGAGTCTCTTATATTCTTTATTTCTTCTTCTTTATATTCTTTAGTTAAAAGAACACTTACAATGTACTAAATGTGAATAAATTGTAACAAATATATATAAATTAAGATAACACTTACAAAGTTGATTAGGCCGGAGAATTTAATAGCTCTAGAGTTGGATGTTTGTGACCAGCTGTCTCTTTTACATAACTAGAAATAATGAAGAAATTTTATATAAAGGCTTATCATGTGTTAGATGAGGTCATCACATTTTTGTCTTTAATTATTCACAAAGATCACACGAAACTTGATTATATACCTTTGTCTGCTCGAAAGCAGCAGTCCCGGTTTAGAGAAACACAAATGTTTCCGACGAGACTTCTCCGAGAGGAGGCGAGGTTACTTCTCCAAGAGGAGGCGAGGTTACTTCTCCAAGAGGAAGTAAAGATGTAGATGGGATCTAAATAAGATTAGGTTAACATTAGATCTAAATCTTGAGGACAGCTTCATAATCATTCTTCACCTTTATCTGCTCGAAAGCAGCAGTCCCGGTTTAGAGAAACACAGATGCTTCCGACGGGACTTCTCCGAGAGGAGGCGAGGATACTTCTCCGAGAGGAGGCGAGGATACTTCTCCGAGAAGAGGCGAGGGTACTTCTCCGATAGGAAGTAGAGATGTATATGGGATCTAAATAAGATTAGGTTAACATTAGGTCTCATCTTGAGAGCAGTTCATATTCAATCTTCACCTTTGTCTGCTCGAAAGCAGCAGTCCCGGTTTAGAGAAGCACAGTTACTTCCGACGGGACTTCTCAGAGAGGAGGTGAGGACATTGGTGCTCAGCCGGGAGGTACTCCGCAGGCAGTCCACAGAACATGTATACAAACAGCCTCTCCCTCATGTTAAAGCTGTCATCCTCGTTCAGGAATACGGCGAGGACACCTCAGAGGAGAACTTGGTCTAAGAGATAAGGGAGCAGTTAGTTTCGCATAAGCTTCAAAAGTTCTAAATTTTCCAGGAATGTATTTTCACCTGTTAATTTATTAGTTCATAGTTCAAACAGGCGTTGAGATACAAGAATGACCTGGGTTCACTTTATATAACATCCATAAGTTTTTTAAAGAGCTTAGATTCAAAATGTTTGGGCAGTGTTTACATTTACATTTAAATAAGATGTTTATAAACCTAGTATTGCACAGCCTGGAGTACTAAACAGGATTAAAAAAGGGCAGCTAACTAGCCCATTGTGGTCTGAAATATATAGACCATTAATATAATTTTGTTTTTATAGGCTCTTTTAAATTATAAACTAGACATTATAAAAAAGCTTTTCAAGCTTGAAGATCTAAACTTTAGGCCAGAAAAATACATTTAACATAAACTTTAGTTAAATTCTCAGATAAAATCTTATATATAATTTTGAATAAATGTTCGTGTATATATAGTAGGAACAAGTGTAGAGTTAGATGAGAAGATCTTCATGTGCTTCTTTAGATCACGATTTTTGGATTCAACCTGAACATCAAGATTTAAGAAAAGATCCGTAGATCTTACAAATAATAATAATAATAGTGCACACTGTAATAATAATAATAATAGTGCACACTGTAATAATAATAATAATAATAGTGCACACTGTAATAATAATAATAATAGTGCACACTGTAATAATAATAATAGTGCACACTGTAATAATAATAATAGTGCACACTGTAATAATAATAATAGTGCACACTGTAATAATAATAATAGTGCACACTGTAATAATAATAATAATAGTGCACACTGTAGTAATAATAATAATAATAATAGTGCACACTGTAATAATAATAATAATAGTGCAAACTGTAATAATAATAACAGTGCACACTGTAATAATAATGATAATAGTACACACTGTAATAATAATAATAATAGTGCACACTGTAATAATAATAATATGTAGGCGGAGGGAGAGAGATTATCAAGTCAAGGAGAGGAATCAAGATCTCCTGGTAAACAAGAGAGAAGAAAAAGCTGTCGGAAGAATTTCAAGAATGCTTTCCAGAAAACTAAATTAAACAGTACACAGGTACTTGTGCAACATCGCACTGTAAAGAAAAATATGCTACGATTTAATTTTAGTTTTATAAGATGCGCAAAAAAATGTGTGCACTTAAAACCTAGTCTGAACACCCTGTTTTCCCATTGTTAACTAACAAAAAATTCTGATTCTAGCTTGGTTTGCTGGTGGAGCAGGGTTTAAGCTCCTGTTTGGAGCAGCAGGAAAATATGAACCAGAAACAGGAATCAGAGGTTAATCCGTCCTTAACTCCAGGAGTAGATCGAGGATTGAATTATTCTCTCTCCGCCAACCAGGCTTCTCCTACTCAAGTTTTTATCTCAAGGAACTGGTTTTAACTCACTAAAAGTGCAATTTATTTATGTCACACTTAATTTCGTCCTAAATAATGTGACCTCATTAATGCTTCCACATTAAACAACATAACAATACATCAGAGCTGAAAACTTTATACCGATTGGTTAATTAATCTGGAGATTAATAACAAGAGGAGAACAAGCACTATGTAATCTGGAGATTTTTAAAAAGAGAAGATCTAGCATAAATCCCGATATCAACCATTCAAAAGTTCCCAGCTCTGATCACTCGTATTGAGCCTTTTAAGTTTAGCTATCGGTATTCCTTTCATCCTTTACAACTTAAAGTAAAGAAGGAAATCCCCAAAACAAAGTCTTAAAACAGGGTTGTCACATATTTTCATTTAATTACTCCATGCCATGTACTTCTTTGACTCTTGGAAGGTCTCATTTTATTCTTAATTCAATCTATTTTCAGTTTATTAAAGTTCAATCATATTTAAAAATCATCATTATGCAATCACAGTTCAGTTTAATAGGATTTATTTTACTGTGGTTTTTAATCCCAAATTCGGGGGGNGAAGAATATTTTGATCTAAAAAATATACACCCGTTTTAAATCTGTTGTTGATAAAACCTGTGTTGCAAGGAGTTACACGGAGTCTCCCAGGTTTCTCCTGTCAGGTCCAGACTCCTTAAACTCCAGACAAACCTCTCCTGTAGGATTCAAGGATCAAAACAGGACTAGTTATCTCTCTCCTTCAGCTTCTATTCTTGGTATACCTCACTTAATTACTTTTAGGCTTTACAGCGAAATGGGAAAATCGTTTCGTGAAAAAAAATGCGAATTTTTACGAGGAAAAAAATTGCGAAAATTTTGAAAGTTCACATTTTTTGTTCCGCGCAAATTTCTCATTTTTTCGCGAAACAGAATTCCCAAAAATAAGAAAAAATTTTGTTTTGATTTCCCTCGAGATTTTGCATTGTTTTCGCTTTCCTTTCGCAAATTTTTATTTCGCGAAAAAACGCGAAATTTCGCGAAGAAGTTTTCGAAATACGTAAGAAAATTTTAGTTCTATGGAAATCCTACTTACTTCCTCTATCTCAGACCTCCGTTGTTGGAGTAAAAGTCCTTTTACATATTTTGCCATCATGATGTGTGTTTGTACGTTACCTTAAGCCTGCCAACCCGTTTAACAATTAAGAGATTTAACTTAAATAAAAATGATCTTAATAAAACAAAGACAATGCAGGGTATTACAGCTGGATATATACAGTATTCAAAGTAAACGCCAAAGATTTGAAAATCTGATAAGTATCAGCATCATTCATCATGTTTTGCATTGGATAGATAGATCTCTTATAGTTTTTGTTGAAAAAATTAACATCTAGAAGTTAAAGAAACGAATGCAACACTTAAAATCCTAGAAAAACTACAATTATCTTCCACATTATTGATCAGATAATGGTGTCAAGGGTACCGTTGTTAATCTAATAACGCTTACAGTTCCTTGAAAGAGAATTTTTTGAATTGACCTCTGATGTTTTCAATAATATTATATCTACCCAGTGTTCAATTTATTTTCAGATTTTTATTATTTTCCTTCTAATAATGACCATTACCCTGTTTTAATTGTATTATAGCCTGCAGTTCATGATACATTGTCTGTAGGTTGATTCTTAATAATAATAATAATACCTTCATTACTCCAGGGTTCAGTGTATCTGGGAGGAATACGGATAGTGAGAGTGATCACCTGGTCATCAACAGTGAAAGTGAGATGGAGCGTGAGAGAAGAAAAAATGAGACAGAAACAAAGTTCACAAAAGCTAAAAAAGGTATTTGCAGTGATGTATATTTTCTTGAAAAATCGCCCTCNTGGGGGGAGGGAATAATTCTTAAAAATATACACCCCTCCCCCCCCCCCATCTTGAAAAGAATTTTTTTCTTGGGGTTTTACTTGATTTAGGGGAAATAAATAAAGTTGTGGATATAAAGTAATCAAATAAAGATGAAATATCTTGCCTTTTGATGTCCAAAATTTTATTATTTCCCCAGTTTCTGAAAAAATTACCCCCTTTCCCCAACCGGGGGCCAGGGTGGTGGTGGTGGGGATAGAGGGGTGTAATTTTTAAAAATATACACCCCTGGGTATTAAGTATTACCAAAACAAATAAATTATTGTTCTTGTCAGTGTAAACCATGTACTTTTCAAGTTTTCAATTTACAATTTAAAAATTTGCTTGCTCTCTTTAAAATATTTGAAGAGAATTTTTTAGTAAAGCTTTATTTTTCTCTAATTAACCCTTTGTTTAGTAATGCGGGTATGCTTAGACGAATCTTTGGATGACAATGCTGTGGGAGAAGGAGAAACCCTTGAAGATGTCCAGCGCGCTATCCAAGTTTTCCAGGAATCTCGCTCCTTGTCAGATACAGAAACCTCTCCGTTCCCTGGTCAAGAGAAATCTCGGGACCATTCCCATCCTCTCCCCGTCTCTACCTCGTCCAATCAGATTCACTTAAGCGAATCAGATTCTGAGCTTGAAGATATTGATGAAGGAATACAAACCAAAGCTGAATCTTTCATATCCTCCCTGAAGGTTACATGTCAACGGCGACGAGAGGCTGTAAAACCTCTAGCGGCCCCAATTTCTAAAAATGCAACCCCACAGAAGCTGCAGTGTGTAGCAACCTCAAGACCCGGTAAAAGAGTGTCGCTTATTAGTACAAGTCGAAAGAGCCCTCTTAAGAACGACTGTACGGAATGGGAGTCAAGATATGATGCGCATTGTCTTGATAAATACGCAAAACATGATAAAGTTCGGGGAATAAAGAAAAAAGCAGGATCAGAGAAAGAAGAGCTTGAAAAGAAAAGAAAATCATCTGGAGGTGGCTCTGCTGTGGGAGGGAAGAAAAGGCGGGAATCGGGAGTTAAAGATGAAGAAATGCGAGAAGTAGCATCACCTGTCAAAGTATCTGAGGCTACTATGTTAGACCAGGAAGAAATTCAGCTTGCTTTCTCTCCGAGGAAATCACAACGAATTCTTACTAAGACAAACTCAAACACCTCTCTTCATGATTTCAAATCCAAACCTTCAATTTCTAATCCAAATCTTGAATCTGAGGTTGAGGCGTCATCTTCAAGTGATCTTAAGGATGTAACTATCAATGATGATGATTCTTCTAGCGATGATTATACCAGTGATGATGAGAGTGAGAATAGTTCAAGTGAGGAGGAGGAGGATCATGAGAATGATGAACTTAGTGAACATGATGAGTTAAGAGATGAGGAAGAAAAGGGGAACTCCACAATTCTGCAAAAGACGATTGGAGAGACCTTGAAAGGTGAATCGAGAGTGATAGAGCTCGCCAATGAAAAAAAGAAAACTTCAAAGATGATTGATGAAGACACAACACCTGTAGAAGCAAAGAAAAAAGATGTTCATGGGAAAAATGAGGAGATGAAAGATGTAATCAAGAAGACTGGGGAAAAAGGAGTTCCAAAAAAACAAGTGGAAGACAAGAAAAATGTATCAAAAATTGAAAGAGACAAAAATAATGTTAAGGGGGGTTCTAACAAGGCAGTGGAGGAAAAGAAAGGTGGAAACAAGAAAGCATTGGATAACATAAATGATACTAAGAAGAAAGAGGAAAAGAAGAACGATCTTAAGAAAGTGACAGAGAAAGTAAACGAGAAAAAGATAACTGAAGAAAAGAAAACCGAAAGCAAGAAGAAAGAGGAACAGAAGGAACTAAAGAAAGTGACAGCGAAAGTGTGTGAGAAAAAGAACACCCAAGATAAGAAAATTGAAAGCAAGAAGATGGAGGAGCAGAGAAAAGACTTGAATAAACTTGAAGAAAAGAAAAACATAATTGACCATAAGAAAAGTAAAGAAAATAATGTCAAGGATCTGAAGATTGAGGTGAAAGAGCATAAATCTGAAAAAAAGAAAGATGTCAGGGATAACGGAGAGAGAAAGGTCCGGGAGAAAAAATCCCAGAGTAGAAAAGATGAAATTAGTATTGCTGAGACTAAGAAACAAGAGGACAAGAAACTAGAGGGGAAGAAGATGGCTGAAAAGAAAATTGAAATTCGAGGAGCTGACGAAATCCAGCAGAAGAGAAGTACTCGTAAAAATCCTGATTCAATTCAGCCAGCAATGGAACTAGAAGATAAAATCAAAACCAGAAATAGAAAGGTCGAGGATGGAAGTGCCAAGTCGTCGGAGAAACCCCCTCAATCCACCGACGATCACATTCTAGTAAAGAAAGCAAAGGAAACTGAGAAAAAGGCCGAAAACAAAATGGACAATTCTTCACGTGCTGAAACACAATTGAAAAAGATCAACACTTCTTCAATTAAGGAATAGTTTATTTTTATTTTTAAACTCTTCTTAAGTAAAGGGGTGGGGGGGGGGGGCACAAAACGTATTACTCTCCGGAAACAGTGTTAAAAACTTAAAACATTACTTTGAATCGTAGAACGCTGATTTTTTTGCATGTTAACTCAAAATTATGCATTGAAACTGCAAAATTCGGTTTTTAAAAATCAGAGCAGAAGTTCGCGCGCTTTTAATGGAAAATGTTTGTTTTTTTCGCATTTGGTATCTTGACACCATGAAATGAGCTTGAATTTGCTTCAAGATGCTTTCAAACATGTAATGCCTGAACAGTTCAGCGCAAAAAAGCCTCAAATCTCTGCTTGCGTGAGCATTTTAGAAAACGTCTGAGATTTTTTTTCTTCAAATTTTGGCATTATTTAAAAAAGTAGCATGCGATACATCGAACTGCAGGTAAATTGGGACGAGGATTTCATTAGAGCGTTCTGATCGGCGCGCTAGTAGCCAGATGTTGCATTATGGGTCATCTTGCCACAAATGTCACATGTCGTGTGTCGATAATTATGTTATTAGGCACGGGGATTCTATTTCTTGGGTCAAAAATGTAGTTTTAGCACTCTGATCGGCGCGCTAGCAGCCAGCTATTACATTTTGGGCCATCTAACCACATAATTTTTTAGTTGAATGTCAATTTACAGGTAATTGGGCACAAGAAATTCATTTCCAATGTCAATTAAATTTTGGAGCATGCTGACCAGCGCGCTAGTAGCCGTTACCTAATGGGTCCACTTAGCACAGATTTTCATGTTGTATTTTAATGCTCTAAAATCTTATTTGACATTGGAAATTAATTACTCGTACCCCAATACCTGTAAATTCGGCAAGATGACCCATAATGCAAGATCTGGCTACTAACACACTGATCAGAACGCTTCAATGTCTGTTTCGACAACAGAAATGAATTCCTCGTCCCAATTTACCTGCAGTGCGATGTATCGCATGCTACTTTTGTTTTGAATAATGACAAAATTGAAAAAATTAAGAATCTCAAATATTTTCTTTTTTGACCTGCTTTTTTTAAGGCATGATATTTTGAAAGCATCTTGAAGCAAATTCATAATTTTGAGTTCACACGCAAAAAATAAGCTATCTAAGTTATGTTTAAAAACTGTTAAAATTTTCCGGAGAGTAACATGTTTTGTGCAACCCCCCCCCCCCTCTTATTAATACGTTTTTTTTTCAAAAAGAATCCTTCAAAATTAAAATTTTATTCAATATTAAATAAACTATTTTGTTCAGTTTGTTCAGGGTACAACAGTTCTTACGTACGTGAAGTTGTACGAGATAAGTTAGAAGATAGTTATGTACGAGAGATTTTATGTACAACCGGGTCGGGAGGCACCTTCTAGATTCTACAAAGATCTAGTTTAATGTCATGAAAATTATATTTAATTATGTAGAAGATCAAAATTGTCAAATGTTAAAAATAACTAGAGATAATTAATTCATTGTTTGCACAATTGTACAAAATAACGCTGTTTGAAACTTCCTGAACAATGTACAACAATGCTTTTTCTGTAAAAATGTAAATTAATATTTTTGTATCAAGCGCATTTATGAAAATATACAGTTGAACTTAGATAATTTCCGATCTGAATTGCAAATGAGCAAAATCTGCCCAATGAACATATGCCCATGATCTATTTCATTAATTGATGCGGATCCAGAATCCTACTTGAAAAACTAAACGGATCTGATCGGATTCAGACCATTGCATTAAAGATTTACTGACCTGTTATTATCGAACTTAAATTAATTTGCTTCCTTAAGTATTTTATTCTAAAACTCGATAAACCATGAAAGAAATTATCCAAAATTTGACAATCTTTTACTTTTAAACGATTGATTGTTTGTAGGCGATAAATTCAGGGGCCGACTAGTGACTAGACCAATAACTCATGGGGGTGGGCCCACATTTGCGCGCGTAAAGAAATGTGTGCCTCCCCCCCCCCCCCTTAAAAATTGAACTGCAGTAAAATTTCCAGTTTCGATTATTATCACATTTCGAGATTTGCGTATCAAAAGTAAAACATTTTTATTAAGATCTATTAATGTTGCATAAGTGTCCTATCGATAATTATAAGAAAAAAAATAATTAAGTCGCTGTCCAATTCATAATAATTGATTAGGAATTCAAACCATATGTTTACATGATTAAAACGAATTTTTCACAAAAAAACATTTTAGCATTTTTAACAATTTTACACATCTAGTAAAAGGTTTTAATGTTGGTGATTATCTATTCTTTTTTGAGCGCTTCCTAATAGTTTTATAAATCCTTTTGGCGTAGATCAGAAGTGGAGTATAGTCAGTATAGCGGATTTGCGTAGGTCGAAAAATACACTCCCGAATAGGCAGTTCAAGTGGGGTGGTTCCTAACTTGGCGGAGGGGGGGATAGATAAAACTCCTAAATTGATTATTTGGCCGCAGCGCCGGCCCCCTAGCCTGTCCTAGCCGCGGCGCTCGGCCCCCTAGCCTGTGCTAGCCGCAGCGCTCGGCCCCCTAGCCCATCCTAGCCGCAGCGCTCGGCCCAGAAATAGTCTTAACCTAACCTAACCCTCAATAATAGGAGTTTTATCTATCCCCCCCTCCGCCAAGCTAGGAACCATCCCGTTCAAGTATGGATTTTGCGCATTTGCCGCGTGATATTGTTGTTCTTGAAGTCTGTCATTAAATTTCATCAACAAACTTTTTTCATAATTTAAACCTGTAGCATTCATAATAAACAAGTAAATGTATGAAATTTTTTAGTAAAATTATTTGCAAGTTTAAGTCTTATTATTTTTTATTTTTGTTCAAAAACTAAGGATTACACGGCGGGCCGGGAAAGCTTTATCGTCGCGTCGGTTTAAAATCGTTACTTTGTAATATTGTGTAAATTTACACATTTTTGCGTATTTTTTTCTTTGATAATATAGTTTTATCAAAGAAAACACTGTTTGACTCTTTTTCCCCCGACTCCTTTTATCAATTTTGTACTTGTCTGAACTTGAACATTGAATGCGATAGTTTGGGTCCGTCCTAGAGAACGATTTTTGGCCCCCCCCCCCTCCTATCAATTTTGTACATGACCACTTTTTTCAACAATTTTCAATTAAATTAGTATTTATTTAGGGTTAAGTTAGGTTCAAACCCTTTCTGGGCCGAGCGCTGCGGCCACATGTCTTACATTTAAGATCCATGTAGAAAATTGATAGGAGGGGGGGGGGCACATGCACCTAGCTCCCCTCCCCCTCAGCCTGTTATAGCCACAGCACTTGGTCCAAAGTCTTAACTGTATCGAAATCTTAATTATTAATAGTAAACAAATCAAATTCCGTGCAGAAATTTATCTAATTCAAGATTTATTGGGGTTGGTTGTTCACCCGTTTACAATGAAGATAAAAGTTTTTTTTGCACAGAACATTTTTTATCTTTCATTCTTCTCTATTAAGCAGACCTGGTTTTCTTCTTCTTCTTATAAACTTTATTGAACAAAAAATAAAACAACACTATATTATATGTATAGAGCTACTTTTCGTAGCACTCTCCAAGACATGTGGAATAATTGTGATGGATTTACTTTTCAGCAAACAAACAAACGAAATTCCTCGTTAAATATCGGAAATTTGTGGACTAATTCCAATATATCAACTATACGAGTTTACAGGAGATTAAAGGAGATTAAAGGAGATTAAAGGAGATTACAGGAGATTAAAGGAGATTAAAGGAGATTAAAGGAGATTGAGCTACTTTTCATAGCACTCTCCAAACATGTGGAATAATTGTGATGGATTTACTTTTCAGCAAACAAACAAACGAAATTCCTCGTTAAATATCGGAAATTTGTGGACTAATTCCAATATAAATTTAGCACTAATTAGACTTTTCATCGTAAAATAAAACAAAAAATTAAAATGAAAAAGAAAAGAATTAGTGTTTTTTGACCTTTCATCTAAAAGATACAAGATTTTAAAATTAAAAAAATAAGAAGCAATGAAAACAAATAAAGAAAAATAGAAGAGAGACCTGAGCTGAAAACTTTAGAGTGGGATATCCTTAATCCTGATCGGATAATTAATCTGAAGATTAAAAATGAGTGGAGAACAAGCAATATTTAATCAGGAGATTAAGAAAAAGAGTGGATTTAAGCCTTAATCCTGATATCCACCATTCTAAAGCTTTCAGCTCTGATTATCTAACAAACTACGGAAAGGATTAGATAAAACTTGTTTTAGTTTTAAGGAAAGGTTTTTTATTTACATAAATTTATTTAATACAAAACAGTGCCGTAACCATGAACTGGAAGGGGGGAGGGGGCAACGGTACACCCCCCTAAATTGCTATTATGCAATATAAATCCACTTATAAACATGACGTTTTATTTCAGAGTAAAATGACGACTATCAAGTTTTCTTCGTCATTGTCCGGAGATCCTGAAGATCTACTGCAGCAGGCTGTTCACATCTCAGATGGAGATACAGATGAAGAAACAGGAACGGAAAACATTTTTTTAATTGTGATTTATGTTTGAGATCACCGACTTTCAGGCGTGTATAAAAAAGGGGGGCTATGGATATTCAGCCCTCCCCCCAAGGGCGTACACAGAATAAATCTAGGGGGGGGGGGCAAAATTTGAACTGTAAAATCAAAACATTTGGCTTCTAGGATAATTTAAAGGTACACAAAACACATACAGCCCAATTACCTTTTATAGTACTACTATATCTCTTCTTTAAACAAAATTAGCCGAAAAAATAGGAAACTAATTTGTTCAAGTTCTCCTGAGTTTCAGATTTGAAAAGTGTTATAGCTCTTAGTTCTACCACCCTTACCTCACCTCCTTGTGTACGCCCTTGCCCGCCACCCCTATAATTTCATTTTTTATTAATAATCCGATAAGTCCCGAAAATTGCAATTTAGAGCTATTAACGATCTAATATGATGTGGGACACCCTGTATCAAATATTTTCAGGAAAACTAGTTCAGCTTCTATAATTTTATTTCATCAAAATTGACCATTGAATTGTTTTCTTACTTCTTTTCTTAATTACAAACTTCTCTCATCCGCGTGGTCGTAATTTGATTCTCCTGATAATTAAGAAGATAAGCATTAATCAAAATGAAGATTTTGAATCAAAGAATTTCTGGATAAATGTTTTCTGATGCCTCTAGGGCCCCCGTTGGATGGAATGGCATATTTAAAACAAGTTATTAAGGTATTAATTGTTATATTAAGATCAGGATATTTTTTTTCGCTAAAGCTCTCTTTACAAATATTTGTTTATGGATACTTTTTACACAAAATATTTTCTACATAGACCCCCCCCCCCCCCTCACAAAGAATTGTTATAATATCTAGGAGAGACGACGGATCCCTGGCACAGTTACAGCAATGATTGATCCTGTTAGAATACAGAAACCTGTGACAGGATCCTCTTTCTTCATTGGTTCGTCTAGATCCAAACCTTCAGGTTAAACTGATTTATAAAATATATTGGATCACTTCTTAGTTTTTATCAATGTATTTTTGCCTAAAACAAACAAACAAACTAAGATTCCGAAGTTTTTACCCTTGATAAAATCCCAAACCTTATTTTAAAGAGTTCCAAGGCCTACCCTTTTTACCTTTGAAGATATACTGTTGTTAATCGTTGATGGTTCTCTATAACATAAAATATGTGTACAGTCACTTCAATGATCTCTGTTCAGTGTCTGCTGATAACTGTCCGAGTGTGAGGTGGCAGAACCAACAAACAGCCGAGTTTAGTGATGTCAGGTTGAAGTTGGCCAGGCATTGTAAACTTCTAAGATCTAAGGTTCAGTTTTTAGGGGATTTTCGCTGAATTGGGTAAAATAAGCTTTTTTTTTGGGGGGGGGGGGGAATAAATTTTGAATTTTGGGAAAACATTATTTAAAAGAATAAAAAATGATTGTCTTTTAATGTCCAATTTATCATTTTTTTTTCTCCCAGATCTTCAAAAATTTCTTGTTTTTCTATTTCTAGCTGAATCAATTTTGCTCATTTCTTTCTAGATCTGTTGTAAAAAATTGCATTCTAGTGAAACAGTAAACGAAAATGTTGAATTTTCAGATAGAAATATCGAAATTTTCTTCTTAGATATAATTACATTTGATTTGTCAATGGGATTTTCAAAATGAATTTTGGGATTATCTAAATTTGTGTTAACAGTCTCTGTAAAGGGAGAGAGTATCCAGACATTAAAGTTACCGGATAAAGAAAATGAGATGCTCTGGTGTCTATTCCTCTACGGATCATCAGTATGGAAACTGGTTGTTGAAACTAGGTAGGATTTTCAACTATACGAGTTTACAGGAGATTAAAGGAGATTAAAGGAGATTAAAGGAGATTACAGGAGATTAAAGGAGATTAAAGGAGATTAAAGGAGATTAAAGGAGATTAAGGAGATTAAAGGAGATTAAAGGAGATTAAAGGAGATTAAATGAGATTAAATGAGATCAAAGGAGGTTAAAAGAGATTAAAGGAGATTAAAGGAGATTAAAGGAAATTAAAGGAGATTAAAGGAGATTAAAGGAGATTAAAGGAGATTAAAGGAGATTAAAGGAGATTAAAGGAGATTAAAGGAGATGAAAGGAGATGAAAAGAGATGAAAGGAGATGAAAGGAGATGAAAGGAGATGAAAGGAGATGAAAGGAAGATGAAAGGAAATGAAAGGAGATGAAAGGAGATGAAAAGAGATGAAAAGAGATGAAAGGAGAGGAAAGGAGATTTAAGGAGATGAAAGGACTTTGAAGGAGATTAAACTAGAGATTTAAAAAGAGGTTAAAGAAGATTTTAATCATCAATAGCTATCAATTTTCTCGGAAGATTTTAAATATTTTATAAAGAAACATTTTTTATACTATTCTTATTTAATAATTAAAAATTCCATTTTCATTGATGTAGTCTAGACTTTTCAGATTAGGATAAAATAGTAAAAATAATAAATATATATTTATTAGGAAAACATTGGAGGAGGAAGAATCTAATGACGAGGACGATAAATTAGATAAGGACGGGAAAGACGAGAAGGAAAAGAAGGATAAGGAGAATGATGAAGATTCTGCTCAAATCCTGTCAACGGTTCTGGAGAAAAGTAAATATGGAACTGAACCCAATCTCAAGGTTGTTCTATCTATGCCAGTTCACTTGGTAGAACGGATTCTAGAATATCAGGTTAGATATTATTTACTTCATAAACTACATTTCAAGTATTTTTTAATTAAAATGGACTGAAAGCGTAAGTGAACTTTTATGAAAAGATGGCAATGTCCGATACACAATGGTACCTTTAAAGCTTTGTCAGATCAAGTATAAATTAGATATCAATGTTTATAATTTTAAATTGATTATTTTCAATTTTGATTTCTCTTCGAATGGTTCGAATGAGTAAAAATGAATGAAATTCTAATGTTTTTAACTTTGAAATTTATTATTTTAAATTTTGATTTATTTACAAAAGTGACTTGTGGAATTTAGCTACAGAAACAATGGAGGAGTTTGTCAGAATCGAAAAATGGTAAATCTAGAAAATTGGCAACATCTTCCACATTATTAAATTGAAAGGTTGAAAGGTTTAAAGGGTATCGTACCGTTGTAAATCGAGCATGATCGTCTTTAAATGGAGAGTCACTTGAAATTAAAACGGCAGTCCCTTCAATTTACTATAAACTCCAAAATGTGTATTGTGTAGGTGGCCTGGTTACAGTTAACTGGCTGGAGAGCTGAGTATGGGGCCTGGATCTACTCCCTGCTCTCCAGGATTGAGAAACCTTTAAATCCAGATCTTGGGTCCGTTCTAAGAGATCTTGCTCTGTTTTGCAGCCAGGAGAGGAATAAGCTCTTGGAAAAATCCGCGAAAGAATCCAAAGAAAATCACGAAAATAAGGATGGAGAAGAACAGCCTGGTGATAAAGACATAGCGGCATTTAATCTGTTTATCTGTCTAGTTTCCAGATACTTTGACCAGGCTGACCTCGCTGATACATCCTCATGACCTCCCTAAGGGTGACCTCAAAAATACTACTTTATGACCTCCCTAAGGGCACCCTCATAACCTTCCTTCTACCCGCAAACAGGCTACCAAACCAAACTGTGATTTTTTTCAGAATTATAATGACAGCTTTGTGTTGAATCTCACGATGCCCCATTCCTGAATCTTGGCTGAGCTCCCTGAAATCGACCAATAATGTGTGCTAGGTGTGGACGACGATTTGCCGGATTCATCACCGATCATGAACAGAGAAAGGTGTGTGCACACACATTGTACATAAAATTGTTTAGGAACAATTTTGTAGATTTAACGGAAATTTTAAGTACAATCCGAACACAGTACAGTCGTCCTTTATATCATCAATACAATAAAGACTACTTTCTTTTTCTATTTTTGTTTCAAACATCATGGATACACAATACAATTACAACATGGAAACAAAGAGAAGCTGTCAATTAAACGCTTCTTTTTGTTTCCTTTTAAACTGGTAATTTGATAAAAGCTTGTTAAAAAATTAAATAGAAATGTCGTCTTCGTGACATTGATATATACGCCGACCACTGCCTGCATTGATCAGCGCTTTTTTAATCAGTTCTAATATAGTGTATTTCTAGCTTTAGTTGAATAAATAGCAAAAGATTAGTTAATCATGCATCACTCTCTGTAGATAAATTAACTGCGTATGTTTTTGGTTTTTTTTCCTTATCCCATTCCCAACGAGTTTATTCATCTTTAAAATAGCCCCCCCCCCCTTCATTGACGTTTCATAACCTGGCGTTGTATCTAGGTGTGGGGTATGGGAGTTCTGTACCTTCTAGGATTCCCTATTCTCCTCCTTATGATAGTGGTGGGAGGAATAAAGGTAATATACAATCAGAGATACAAACTTATGACGGAACGAGTTAAGGTCGGTTTTATGAGTTGAACTTTTTTTTCATTCTTCCCTAGCTCAGTGTTCTGAGGATTGAATTAGGTGAGATTTTCATTTAAATTCAATACAGTTAAACCGACTTACAGTTTTAGACTAAATCAATAGTTTTCAAACTTAGTGAAACGACACAATTAAAAATGTTCGTTCGCTGCACTTGTATTTTGACTCCAATTTAGTTTTTGGATATACTAGTTTTCTTTTCAAATAAGCAATGTTTCTGGATTAAGGGAATTCGTAATTTCTTGTGATCCTCTGTTCATATCTATTTGCTGATGACACTAGTTTTCTGAAATCATCTCCACATATCGAAACTTTAGTAATTGATGCGAACTTTGAACTAAAAAAGGCAGCTGCATGGTTTCAGGCAAACTGTTTAACACTAAATGTTTCCAAAACAAAGTTTATGATATTTAGGAATAAAAATATGCATTTTGATCCTGAGAACTGCAAATTAAAAATTGGAAATGAGATACTAGAAAGAATAGGAACTGCCTGTACAAATAAATATTTCAAATTTGTTGGACTCAAAATTGATGAATTTTTAAATTGGGACTATCAAATTAAACATGTTTCCAATAAGATTGCTAGCTCAATTTTTGCTCTGAATCAGATTAAAAACATTTTACCGTTAAACATTCGTCTACTAGTCTATAATGCACTTGTAAGGCCACATATTGAGTATGGAATTATAACATGAGGGGGCGTAAAAAATGCTAAACTACAGAAAATCAAGTCTTTGCAAAAAAGGGCAATTAGAGCGGTAAATAATAGTTCATTTAAGGCACATTCAGATCCAATATTTTTCAGATTAGAACTCCTAAATCTTGATGATACATATAAACTAGGTGTTCTATCTTTTATGCATAAATACTTTTATGAAACCTTCCAGCTTCCTTCCAGGATATGTTTAATTCTTTAGCTGAACCAAATAGAACAAAATCATATAAACTTGAACGGGTTCTCTTTAAAACTCTAGAATGTTTTCCCTCTGCCTTATTTCCAAAAATATGGAATTCGATTGAATTAGAGCTGAAAGAAACTAAATCTGCAAAATCGTTTAAAAGAAAAGTCGCCAAGATCTATTTAGATAGTTATGCAAATTATATCTGTAAAAAAAAACTGTGTATCATGTGGATAAACTTAGTCTTTACTATCTTCTTCACCCTGTAGTTCATAAACATGATTCTAATAACTTATGTTACCCTCTGTTCCAACCCTTACGCTGAGTATCCTCCCTTTTATTTTTACTCCCTCACCTTTTACCTGATTTATTATCATTCTTATGTTTAAAATGTACAATGTACATTGTTTTTATCTGCAATTCTCATTCGTTTATAGTGGGCCAACCAATTAAAACAACCTACTCTGGTTAGGCGGGTCCAAACTACATAGTAAATTGTGATTTTTTTATTTGTATTATCTCGTGCTTTTTAGTTGAATAAAAATATGAAAAAAATATGAAATATGCAGAATAACATGTCCGATTCATTATGGTACCTTTTTGAGTTTAAATCTTTGTCTGATCTACCAGGACGTAGATATTGTTATTTTGAGTGCCAGGAACCTCAACTTTACAGAGTTAGCTCGGATAACTGGCATAAAGGGAACCTCTGTGAATCGGAAATGCCACTCCATAAACGGAGGATCACTTGAAATAACGTGCACAGTCCCTTAAGAACCGGTTATTTTGTTTGTTTGCAGGCAGCACCACCTGGCGAAGAGAATCCGAACTGTCCAGCTGAACCTAACATGCCATGGTTTCTTATCATAGGAACATTTCTCAACCAAATATATAATTATTAAGTCAAAATATTTTAACAACATTTCTCATGAGGCAGTGTTGTATGTTTGTGTGATTGCGCGGGGGGGGGAATTTTACATCAAGCTGTTTTTTTTTTACCTATTTTACAAAGTTTTTCCAAAACTCATTCCCCCCCCCCCCCTTGTGAACAAGTCCAATCTGTCTATCTATCTATCTATCATGCCATCTTAATCCTTCCGGAGTACTTGAATCTTAGAATTAGCATGACATGTGCAATGATACTGTTATTTCCGAGTGGAAATAGCCTAAGCCGTGAAAAACCCAAATACCGTGACCTGAGGACGAATTAAAGAATTTGAACGGCAGCTTAAATTTAAGCCGCGGCTCATATATAGTTGGTTCCACTTAAAATTGTATCCAAAATTTCAAGATTTAAGTCGGCGCTTAATTAAAATTGGTTTTTGGTGGATTTAAGACGAGGCTCAAAATCATTAAATTCGGACTCTGTATCTACACTCTACAGCCTGGATTTGTTTTAATGCTGAAGCAAAGGCAAAATATGAATTATTTAGACAAAGCTGAGGCCGAATTTAAAGAATTTAAGCTGCGGCTTAAACTTGAGACACGGCTCAAACATGGTTGGTTCAACTTAAAATTGTATTCAATGTTTCAAGATTTAAGCCAGCTAGCTCAATTGAAACCGGATTTAAGACGCGGCTCAAATTCATTAAATTCGTTCACTGTCGGTAATTTTTTATATGAGTGTGTGAATTAAAAAAAAATAGCATGAGAAATAAGGAAGTTTTTTAATAAATAAACAAACATCTTATGCTTAAGCAAGCAGTATTAATATGGTTGTTAACTGTTATCGACGCAGGAGGATGCGGTATTACTATTTTACTAATCCTTAGGATTGCGATCAACAAGTGCCTAAGGTATAATAGTTTGTTTTCTTCTAAAAAGTATTTTAAATAGTTGGAAAAATTAATTAAATGTACATTTTGTAAATAAAAATTTTCTCATTAGTCCTTTTTTAGGTGTTTAAAGGAAAATGAACGCTGTTGTGATGAGGTTACTTTTTTACAATTGACTAATCGTGATTATTTATATCTTCCGTTTCATTTTTCATTTTTCATAAATAGAAACATATATATGTTTTAAATAATAATATTCAGTCATAAGAATATTTTTTCCAACTGAAGTATTGATATTTTAAAAAAACGTTCGAACAAATTCTATATATTTCTTACATTTTTTCGTCTTGTTGCATTAACCTCGTGTTCACTGTTCAGGTGATGGGTTGTTTCTGTGAGTTTGGTTGTAGTATGGTCTACGATATATTCGTCATCATCCTCATCGTCCTCTGGATGATCACTGTCACCTGGTGGGTCTTCAGACACAGGAATATTATCATTCAATTCGTCAGATTTGTCTTTCTTGATTGTTCCTGAAACCTTTGACAGAAAATCCAATTCAATTAAAAGAAAACTAAACTCTAAATTTCAAATTCTGCAATCTGAAGGTGTAAAATTTAAATCTTACCAAACTTTGCAGATTTAAAAGTAATTCTTTGACATTAGGTTGCAAAGATTAGGGTTAAAAATTATGGCATGGCCGACCAAGTTACCAACAGTGTAACACGATTCCGAATTCTAAGTTATATAATTTATTGGCAAAACCTTCTGTATACTTCTGTTCAACTAAGTATAAATGCCAAAGAATGATGAAAGCATTGCAAAATGATTTGGTTGTAAAAAATTCCATTCACTAACTTAAAAAGGAAAATCTAAAAGATTTCACTTTTATTAAATTTTTTTTTAAATGAGTAATTTTTAAGCGATAATAAAAGCTCTTAGCTATTTCTAGAAAGAAAAAGTCTTGTTTATCTTGATATTATTTTTTCTGATGCCAAAATTATAATTATTTTTGATAAAACTAATAAATTCTGAATGATAATCTGATACAGGATGTCCGATCAACTCTATAGTATACTAGGACACGAGAATCTGGATACATTTAGGTATTTACATATTTTTTTTACGGGGGGGGGGGGCATGCAATAATATACCCCTCTAAATAATTTTAAAAGTTTTACTTTTTGACGATTTTAAGGAATTGTTAGACCAGTTCAAACATTTTTCCATTTGAACAAATTCTATAATGATTCTATGGGTTTTATCATGGTCGGTTTAAACCTATCTTGTTTCAGGGCATCCTTGGGAGATAATGATACCATTCATCATATTCAATTCGATAATCCAGAAGAAGAATCATACTGTGACAGGTATTTTTATGAAACTCAAGTAACGGTAGAAAGAAATCTCTACGCGGCATTAAAATTAGAAAGTTCTGGTACTAATATGACGATTTCGGTGGAAAGGCAAGGCGAAAGTCGATCTAAGAGTCATAACTGGTTTCACGATAGAGATAATGGAATTATTTATTTAATTCTAGTGTCTTTATTTATTCAATATCTTGTCATTATAATCATTGATGGCAGGACAGGACACCTTTTGGAAACTTTAAACTTTCAACTTTTTGTCGCTCCTATTTTTTCTCGAAATTTTAGCATCCATTAAGGCCTGAAACTCTCCTGGAAACCACAGTTTTTACTAATCCAGGAAGGGAACTGAGTCTCCTTGTGTATGCCTCTGGTAATAACAATAATGATATGGTTGTATGCTTACAGGATTCTGTACGAAGTATCGTTTGCTCTGTTATCGGCCGGCTGGCTTGTGTTGGCCGGCGCGCTACTCGTCTTCATTATCGGGAAGGTTTGCTACAGCGTAGTTTGCTGTCAGCTTTGCAGGTGAATATGATAAACCGTTTAAAGGGATCGTTAACTTCTTTAACAGTAAACCGAGACAGATTGGATTTTAATTAAGATTCTCGTCGAAGATGTCTCAGTCATCCGAAGAATATTTTTTTCTTTATACAACCTAACACCCCTGAAAAAAGGGATTGTGAAAATTATTTAATAACATTTCACAAATGCCACAACCTTACTGTAAACATCATTATATCTCTGATTTACTTTGTATTTTTTTCATTTCTCAATCTACGGAAGTATTTATACAAAAATTTTGCATTGGCCTTCAATATTCCATGATTTATCAAATGTCATGGGGATTAGGTTTGATAAATTAATTTGATCCATAATTGACACCGATCAACATTTATATTTCATTGTATATGGTTGCTACGAATTCCTCCTCTATCTATTTATCTACCTTTCTATCTATATATCTTTCTAGCTTTCTATAATAATAATAATAATAATAATATGTCTATCCATCCCTCCATTCAAAGATTGAAAGATGTATGAAAGATGTACGAATAAGAAGAAAATAAAGAACAAGAAATATAGAAACCTCAAAATATTTTCATCTGATATCATATAAATATTTAAAAATATTGTAAAACTTAATCAAAATAAATTATTAAAGTAAAAAATATATCCAATATCCATCTATATATCCATCTTATCTATCTATCCATCTTTCCATCTATCTATCTGTCAGATCTATCAAATCTATCTATCTATCCATCTATCTACCTCTCTTTGTTGTAGGAGTATAGAGGCTAGGAGGGGGGACGAGGAGGAGGAGATGAGATTGAATGCAACTAAAGACAAGGAGGAATTCCTCTGAACTTACAATCTCAATTCCGTGCCACCAACCCATCCATCAATCAATCAATCAATTATTTGTTAAGTGTTAATTGATGGTATATTCAGGCCTAAAACTCAAACGTCGACTCCTTTTTCTCAATATTTTTATCATTAATATACTCAAAGGGGCTGTACGCATAATTTTAAGTGACCCTACATCAATGCCCGATTTATAACGCTACAATGAAAATCAATATCTGATCGATAATGTGGAAGATATTTTCGTTTTTATAGGTTGATAGTACCGTTGTGAATCAAGGATTGTGATCTTTACACGGAGGGTCACTTGAAAGTACGCGTTCAGTCCCTTTAATTTAAAAAGTTCTCTTTGAACACATGAAACCAAAGTTTGCGTCTCAAAATGACGATATAACCGGCCATAATTACGCAGTAAAACCTACTGCTTCGTGATCATTATTTACCCCTGCAATACTTCATACATGGCATAATAGTACTCAATTATACGCTCATTATCAATCCTGATCTGAACTATTAGAACCTCGATATCTTGTTACAAATATATACATATTTATTCATTTTATTTGTCGCCTGGCATCCAAAGAATGTTTTTTAACTATTGTTTTAGTTAATTTATTAAAGTTAGAAATGAAATTATTCCCTGTTATAGATTATAATTAGTAATCAATTTTCCTAATGATAAGTACTTGAACTAGGGTTATTGCTGCTTTTTAAATACTCTAATCTAATCAAAAATTATTTGTTAATAGAACCTTCACTTAAATCCCCATGAACCCTGGTCATTATTTTAAAGGCAAATATTTTTAGTCGCAAAACTTTCTTACAGGAGATTAGATTCCTTCTGAATAATTTTTTGTTACCCCTACAATTTGTGATATTACCCCTCGTGTTTTATTCAACGCTTTGGCTGATTGTTTTAAACCTTGTTCCTGGTTACTTTATTACATCAAGGCATTATTCGTTCTGTGTATTTTGCTGATTTTATAAACTTAATCTTATCCCCTCTGCCGTTTCACTCATAGTTAATACTTTGTGTTTTAAACCGCTATCATACTTGATATTAATTCCTAGCTAGTTATTTTATTTTGTAGTAGCGCTCTCTTCCGCCATTTTTAATCCGTTTCGTGCCATTTTGAAATTCGATCTACTGCTCAAATGTTGTTGGAACACATGGTAATTTATTGAGCGTTGTTGTGTGATATTTAATCTGTTAAATCTTTTATAAATGTGATGAAATATACTAATCAATACTATTAATGGAACACAATTTAAAACCTCGGGGTAAAACTTTTGCGTCTTAAATTTGTGTTTACAGCTAAGCTTTAGATACTAGAAATGGTTTAGCTTTCACCGATTTAAGGAATTCATTTAAAAGTTTTACCCTCTCGAAAAAAAAGCAAGAATTATATTCTAAAATTAGCAATTTTGATTAATTTTATTATTCACTGTGGGAGTTGTTATAAAAGTATTCTTTCAGGGGTTAAATGTAAAAAAAAGCTTAACAGTTTCAGTGGGGCTATGGATTGGTCTGTTTTAGCTCAGATTGTTATCGAGACATAGATCTAAAAATCTTCCGTTTGAAGAATTTTTTGAAAAATAGTTTCTGAACCAAATTTAAAGAGCATTTTAAAACGCCCACCACTTTTCATCCGCGATTTATTTAAATGTCACCCAATTTATTCCAACTGCTACGTAACTATTTGAACAAGTTTCCCGCATCTTAAACCAAATCCCTTATCTGTGAAATTCGTTCCATTGTGCTTGTTCTCTGTTACGAATAAACTATTTAGATGTTTAATCCTATTCTCGACCCGAAACTTTTGATTTCAGATAATTATGAATCTCTCCGATATTCCTGATGAAAGATTAGGAATACATGAAGATATACAGGAAAATAGTTCTCAAGGTTAATATATCGAGTTGTCCTTTATGTACGATTCACAACGGTACCCCTTTCCCTGATTAAAAGTAAACGAGATATCCTTGATTTTCCTAATGAAAATTTATTGTTTTCAATAGTAGTCACTCTTTTTCAAGCTAAGAAAACGACGATATCTTGTACATGATCATAAAAAGAAAAAGTACCGTTCGGGCATGGGCCTGTTTCAATGGAGGTAACTCGAAGTTAACAACGACAGACCCTATAAATTTAAAGATATTTTGGTCATAGAAATTGTTTGCCTTTTTAATGTCAAAGTTATTGTGTTACCACAACCAAAGGGAACTGTTTTATTAGAGGATTGAAGGGAGTTCTGTTGATAAACAAATTCTAAAGTTTTTGATAACAAAAATTCTAAGCCTGAGGAATGGAATGGAAGATAACCTACTTCTAATCCAACAAATCCACCTGATGGTACAGAAGGAAGGAGAGGAGCAGAGGGGATTTAATGATGTGATCAATGCTGCCCAGCAACATATTGAATCCATTAATTTAGTGTATAATCTAGGAGTATCTTGGCTTAACGATGATCCTGATTTTGCTCTCAGCATTATTCAAGGTATACTTGGCATTATTTTGCATCCAGATTTAAACTAATAATCTTTCTCATGCAGAGAATCAAGATCTTAACAAAACGGAGAAGAATGATGATGATGAAAACCTGAAAAGTCTTGAAGATTCCAAAGATAACATCAAATGCGAGGTTGAAGAAATAAAAATAGAAGTAGAGGAAGTGGATGCTTCTGCTAGATTAGACCCAATATCCAACCAAGTCCTAATTTCTCATGTAAAGGATGAATCTGGAACTGAAATAGGTAAATACATAGTTCGATAAGTACAGTGGTAGGCGATTATATCAATACAAAGAAGACGACTTTAGATTTAATTTTGGATTTATATCATGCTTTTGAAAAGCATGGATACAGTACACATAATTTGGAAGTCAAGAGTAGCTGTTGTTAATTAAAAAAGCTTCTATTTGATCAAAACTTCAATAAAAATGTTGTCTTCATTGTTTTGATATAATCGCCTACTACTGTATTTTATTAAATCATGCCAATAGATATTTTTTAGATATGAATATTTTTCATTCATTGTTTCTTAATACAAGACAAGAAAAGTTCTTAAACCGGTTCCTTTCCAATACACATAAAAATTGCCAAAATATTTAATTCAGAAAGTATTATCTTTAAAGGAAAAATATGACCTTCAATATATTTTATTGTTAGAAAATAGATTTCTTGTCTTTTTCCTCTGTTTCTCCTACTTTTCGTTTCCTTCTTTTCATTTTTTAAAAGTTTTTTTTACATCAAATATCAAGTTTGAAATAAATATTTATTACTCTTGAACAATCTTGTTTAATGTTTCTTTGTGATAAACACATTTTTTAGGTAAAGTGATTCTAGAGAGTAGGGAGCCAATGGAACTCGAAACCTATCTTAAAGCCATCCAATCGAAAGAGCTAAAATTTCCATGCACTCTCTGTGAGCATACATCTTCAAGACGCAACGGGTTAAAGAGACACATTTTAGCCAAGCATACCAATGTTCGTGTAAGATGCGAGAAGTGTGACCGAACCTTTATTGAACCGGCAGGGTTAAGAAGACATCAAATTAAAGAACATCCTGAATTTGAGACTGAATTTGGACCGCAGGAAGAGAAAGAGAAAGGTACTTGTAAAATTAAATCTTTCTTTATTAAATAGTAGCTTGGGAACCCAGCCTTACCTGGAAACTAGACTTTCTCTTTGAAAGTCATCCCTCTTAACTTTAAATTCCCGTCATTATACCTATAGGTTTCCAATCAAAATAGAGGCAAATCGGTCAAGAGGTTCTTGAATTATGATCAGATGTACTAATAACAGAGATTACTACTTTATATATACAGATGTGTGTTTACTTTGATGCAATTTAAATTACAATGGTCTGAATCGACCTGAAGGTTGTATTTTTCTAATTTAAATTTTCTTCTATCCGTATTTTTTCCGTTTTTGTAATTTTTTTCCATTACATTTTGCAATGTGTTGAAATCTTAAAAAGCTATAAAAAACTAGTTGTTTTTGGTTTTATAATCAAACTTTAAAAATACAATTAAGTTTAAACATTTATGCTATTCTAATACCTTGAGCTTATAATTCTTGATTTTTGTTTTAAATAAATGTCCAGTTTTGTTTGTTAAGATCAAGCAACTGGAAAGAAACGAACGAAAGTCTCCAAGAAACGAATATTATTTCCATGTTCGTTGTGTGAATTTAGATCATCAAAGAAAGAGATGAAGGAACATATTTCACAGGTAGGGATTAATATTATTATTAGATATTTACAACTTTTTTTGGAAAAACAAATTATAAAAAAGGAACAAAAAAAATTTTAATTTTCACCTTCCCTTTTCCAAAATGTATATAAACTTTCAAAAAAAAAAAACATTAAAAAATTTTAATTCTGATGATTCAAATAGAGGGTTTTGCTCATCCCTGGACCACTGTGCGCTCCTTAAAAAATCTGATATTGAAGAAAATTAAAATTTACTATGAGTTAAAATTGTGATAATTGTTTAAGAAACTAGATAAAATTTATTTTTAGAATCATCATAAAATAGATTTTTATAAATAATAGCCAACGGAAAACTTTTTCTCAAAAAAACTCAAGTCATTTCGCTCTTGGACAATGGACATAATGGGCTTTATGATAATGATAATGATAATGATAATGATAATGATAATGATAATGATAATAATTATGATAATAATTATGATAATGATAATGATAATAATTATGATAATGATAATAATTATGATAATGATGATAATTATGATAATAATAATAATAATAATAATAATAATAATCTGTACTTTACAGGTTCACAAGAATAAGCGACTATCATGTGATCAGTGTACTCGAGCGTTCACAACTCCAAGTAATTTACGAAGACACAAAATGAATATTCACGACGGACTAACGTTTAATTGTGAAATGTGTGAATTCTCTACTCCAAGACCAGAACTTTTAAAGCTTCACAAAGTTCTCCAACACGACGAAACAGGGTTTACTGAAGCCGGAGTTGGTTTCCCATGTTCTGAGTGTGAATATGTCGGAGGTGACGCGTCATATTTAAAGATACATGTTAGAAAACATAACAATGAATTAGTAATGTGTGATCAGTGCGAATATGTAGCAACCAGCAAGAGTAAGTTAAAGAGACACATTGATAATATGCATAACACAAGTACACTATACTCCTGTGAGCATTGTGAGTACAATACTTACAATAAACAAACTTGGAATTATCACAAAAAGAATCATGAGGAACAACAGTATTTATGTGACCAATGCCCATTTATCGGTAAGGTGAAAGGTAACCTGAAAATGCACATTCAAGTGGTCCATTCAGGAGTTAGATTTCCTTGTGATTCATGTAAACATGTTTCTAAAAGTAAACAGCATTTGAAACGACACAAAAAAGCCGTACACATGGGGGTAAAATACCCCTGTGATTTGTGCACATTTTCGGCATCAACTCCAGAAAATTTAAAAGAGCACAAGGCCTGCAAGCATGATGAGACAAAATATCCTTGTGATATTTGTGAATATGTAGGATCTACTCAATTTGTACTGAAAAGACACATGAGGACTAAACATTGATTTTCCGGCGGACAACTTCAAGACACAATAATCGTCTCTAATGATTTTAAAAACTATTTCTCCTAATTTGTTGAAAAATATTTTTCACATCTTTCAAGTCGCCGAGCTTTTTTAAAAAAATGCCTCAAAGGACGGTAAAGTGAATATTTCAAATATTTCAGATAAAATGTCTGTCTGTTCCACTAGTGCTGGGAGATTAAATTTGTTCAATGAGCTTCAGGAAAACATAGTTTAGTTTTGATTTCAATTTAGTCTATATAAATCATAATATCAAAATTAATTCTTTGGTTTTCTGTTAATATTTTCATTTTTTTTCTGAGACTGGTTCTGATGACCATGCTGGGGTATGTAAACTTTGATTTTCGAAAATGTTGGTAATAAAAGATGGTCATTAATTGAACCCCCCGGGGCCCCTCCCCCCTACTCCTAGAGTCCTGGTTCCTTTTTTGTTGTATTTGAGGTCCATTATAATCAGTTATTTCCCACAATTTAGCGTACCCATTTAAGTTATCAGTTTTGATTAACAAGTATATGATGAAATTATAAGACTTATTTTTCCTAAATTCTGAATTTATTGCTTAGTTGTATGCTGAAACCTGTGCCTCTCTTAGTTTATTTTTCAGCGCCAGAACAATAGAAATGCATAACTATTTAACCTATGTATTGTATATATGCGGCCAAGGGCGTATACAGAAATAAATGTAGGGGCTCCTAGGGGGGGGCAAAATTCGAACTGTAAATTCATAACACTTGGCTTCTTGGATATCAGGCATAAGTATAAGATACTTAAAAGGCACACATACAGTCAAAATAATTACCTTTTAAGCATTGTTTCTAAAAAATCGACATTTTATTATACTTTTATAGGTATATTTAGTATTTAAACTAGAGATAGTAAAAGACATTTTTGAAAATAAAAACTTAACTTAAACTTAAATTCTATGAGATGAAAAGAAGTACAAAGGTCCAGAAAATAATTATGACTTGTAAAAGTTTCTGTTGTGAAAAAAAGTAGGAGTACAATTGCTGCAATCTAAGAATGAATGATAACTCAAGGCTTATAAATAACAGTATTTGATTCATGATAATTATTAATCAGCAATTCACAGATACCAGTCACAACGGCAACTTTTAACAGACTCACATCACTACTAAACAAGACTAGCATATAATGTAAAGTGTGTGAGCTGTACAAATGTATGCAGACTGTGTGTTCTCTGAACCCAACTAAACTCTGTGTACTCTGTGAACTTAAAAGTTAAAATTAGGTTAGGTTGGTTAGGTTAACTTGGTTACAGCATGAGCACTGCACTGTAATTATATATATTTTAAAATTTTGATTTTTTATAATAATCATGAAAAGCAAACTTATTTTTTTTGTGTTCTTCACTCTTCAGTTAAGATTTGAAAAGTGTGAAAGGCTTGCAGAATTCTAGGGGGGGGGCTACGCCCCCCCCTTTACAAGTCTAGGGGGGCACTGCCTACCATGCCCCCCCCCTGTATATGCCCTTGTAATATGCCACTCGGTACATAGAAATAATCAAGTCTAGTCTATATTTTAAGAGTTTATTTCTTGATCGTCTTGATCGTCATCAAAGCTGTGAAGCTGAAATATAACTATTATTAGTATTACATATTTTTAAAATGTGATGAAGGGTAAAACGTTGTGACCAGATAAAGTTATTTGACAGAATACATTGACAACATATATTTCAAAATGTTATCTCTGGTGAAATGTTACGACCAGATAAAGGGATTTAAACACTATATGTGAAAGCTTAAAACATCTGTTTCAAAAGGCACATTATAATATTTTACGAGATACAGTGATGTCCCTAGCTTTCTAGTAAAATCTTACATTTGATAGCGGTTTGGTTTTCTCTCACACTGATCCAAATATCTTCTGTTGGGGTTTATCAGGTTCAAGTTCTCCAATGTATAGTTCTCCGCAGTGCTTAGGATCAGAATCCGTTGTATCCGCAAGATGTTGGCTTCCTCAACAAAATCAACCAATAACTGCAAAAAAGAAGGATTTTACTCTCAAGACCCAAATCTGAACTATTGAAAAAAGAGAGATTTAAAAAATTTCCTGATTTCTGAATAGTTCATCAAGTTTTAGCATAAAAATAAGCAAACAGATTGAAAATTCTGCTTTGTTAAAAAATTAGTAAATTTTAAAGAAATATCCTTTATGAGGATCCGTTTTTTTCCAGTGCGGATCTAGAATCCGGGTCATCAACAAAATTAAAAGGATCCTAAGCACTGGTTCTCCGTGTATACATTTTAGCTCTTCTGCGAATGGAAAAGGCTATAAGCAACTAGTTTTTATTGTAGATATTACAGAGTTGATGTAGATTAGGTTTATTTACTAATAACAAGTTTGTTTTGTGAATACTGCAGACTGTATATCACAGTGAGATCTTTGTTAAAATATGACTGGGAGCGTAGATGGGTGAATATAAGATGCAGGCTAAAGTTGTTCATCAAACTGTAGATGGAAAACTCTGGATATCTCTTATCAGTCCTGTTCTGCATCTAAAGATCAATCAGTTGAAATCATGTTTCAACGTCATTTATGAATACATTTCGATAAGTTCTGTTTATTAATATGCCTGTGCTTGTGATACAACCCTACCCTCTTTTGAGTCTCCTTGACGGATTCCTGTACTGTATCCTCTCCAGTAGCTCCAGCTCCCTCCATCCCATGAGCAGCATGATATCCAGCAGCACCTCTTCAAGTCAGCATCATTGCAAAAACTGACTCTCCAGTGGGAGGCTGCGTGTTAAACAGCCCCTGGCTATCAATGCCTCCCCGTCTTAAGTTTCATAAATATGTTTAAAATATGAAATTTTCTATATTTTTAACTTGAGACTAATATATATATTTGATAAGATTTGATTTAAGATCTCCGGGTTATACTTATGAACTCTTGATGATCAACTGGATCAAACACTGCAACACACTTAATGAACTAGCACTTTATTTAATCTCTGCTTGAAATTTTGATAACTAATTTGTACCTTGAATATTGAACATCGGATCACTTCTTTAGATAGGATTAGAGAGTCTTAATGATCTTGATCTATCATGATCATCTGCGCCATGACGATCGTTATATTTTGTGTGAAAGCTTGGGATTAAACATTTGGTTTACATCGCAGTTTTAAATACAGATTAATATGACATTTTTATTTTAAGATTACTCATATATCGACTCATAGATGTTCTCGATTAATTAATCATTCTGCATATATAGTTCTTGAGTGATCACACTGGTTCAACCTTTTTCTTTCGAGCTGTAGTTTGTCCAAAATAATAGTTAAGATTTTACAAAACTTGACTTACCATATAGTGTGACCAGAAGTCAAAACTTTTGGTAATGAATCTTTGTGATTAAGCATTGCTCAACTTATTTAGATATTCGGATTAATTTATATCCTCTCTGTGGTAGTTTTATACAGTAGAGGTAGCTTTGATTTAAGGATTAAGCCATAAGTATTGATCCTCGAAATTGTGAAGTGCCCACATTGAATATTTAGATCAAATTTTTTAGATCAACGAAACTCCACTCAAAAGTAATGTTCTTACTTCTAGGAGGCTTTGCATTTCTTTTTGCGTTTTAATATAAAATTTCTTTTAGCTTTTTAGTTGTATTTTTCCACTTTCGTTAAACTGTGTTAAACTTTATTGTAGTCACCATATTTCTATGATTTGTTAACAGAGTATGGAAGCAGTTTCGGATGATAAACGAATATTGAAACATATAATGATTGATATTCTCAACCTGAGGAATGGAATGGAAGATAACCTACTCCTGATGCAAAAAGTCCATCACATTGTAAAAAATATTAAGTCCGTGGGTTTGGATTTATTGAACGCAATAACTGTTGTCCAGCAACATATTGATTCCATTAACACAGTTTATATACTGGGAGTATCCTGGCTCAATGATAAAACTGATTTCGCTCTCAGCTATATTCGAGGTAAAGTTAGTTATTTAAAATTCATTGATGTTTTTGTTTTGAACTTTTTCGATGATCAATACTTCTCGCATTTTCGGGTTCAGTCATATCTAGCCAATTTTGAGAAATTATTTATGAAGGAAATCTGAAAAAAACTATTTGATTTAAAAATGCAAACTGTTAAGAGGTTTCATCATTACAATATAAAATAAGTAGGTGAAGAACCTGCAGAAAATATAGAAGACTTCATAAATCCAGAAAGCCATGAGAATAAGGAGAATGTGGAGATCTATGATGGCCTTGAAGATCAAAAGAACAATTTTCATGAAATCATTGAAGAAGATATTAAGATAGAGATTGAAGATTTTGAGAATATTGTTTCTACAGATTTAAATCTTGATCATGTTAAAGATGAAGTTGAAGTTCTAGAGAAGAAAGAAGGTAACCTCTGCATCTTTGTGAACACTCACTTTAAAGCGTAATTTCAAGTGACCCTGCATGCCAAGAGGGCAATGTCAGATTTATAACGTTACCCTTAAAACCCTTGACTGTCACCGAGTTGAAAGATCTCTTAGTAAAATACATTTCGGAATCCTCCAAAACGCGATTGTACGCTGTGTACAGAGTAACCTAAACTCTGATTAGTTACTTACGCACCTCAAAGTTTCGACTGTTACACGCTAGAAGCGTGTTTCAAACATTCAAAAGTAAATTAAATATATAACTGCTTGCAATTTAAGATTTTATCAATTAAGAATGTTAAAGTAGATTGATACAGACATGTCCTTCGAGTCCTTCATCTATCATCTATCGGGGATTCACCTTGTTAAATGTTAAGTCACTTGAAATTGCACGTACAGTCCCTTTAACTCTAAAAAGGTTTGGGAGGGAACCCTGTTTTTGGCCATATCGCTTCTTTTTATTAAATAAAAGTTATAAGGGGGTATTTTTGGTGGGAAAAAAAAACAGTGGTAGGCTATTAGGTAATTTCCTTGAGAACGATTTTTGAACCTCCCCCCCCCCTCTCCTATCAGTTTTGTACATGGATATAATTGATTATGTGGCCGCAGCGCCCGGCCCTCTAGCCTGTCCTAGCCGCGGCGCTCGGCCCCCTATCCTGTCCTAGCCGCAGCGCTCGGCTCCCCTAGTCTGTCCTAGCCGCAGCGCTCGGCCCAGAAATTGTCTTAACCTAACCCTAAATGTACAAAATTGATAGGAGGGGGGAGGGGGGTCCAAAAATAGTTCTGTAGGACGGACCCGGCTATTATATCAATACAATGAATACGACTTTTGTATTTATGTTTTTGATTGTTCACAAGATTTTGTAAAATTACAAGTTTACAAGTAATCGAAGAGAAACTATTTAAATGACCTTGACTTCTATTTTTATGTTTATCCACCCTGTTAAACAGCTTGATGGAAATCGAAAGTCGTCTTCATAGTATTGATATAATCGGCTAACAATATAAGATAGCAATTTATCCTTTTTTACTTTTACAACAAGTCCTCATTGCCCCCTAGCTTTTCTTTACTTACCATCCACCTTTTTAATCTGAATTTTTGTCTCATTTTATCCAAATTTAAACATAAATCCCTAAGAACCAACTTTAGACTTGACTGAAGTCAAAATATGTGTCATGACCCACTTCGAGGCACAGAATGTCCTTCCTGGTTTACATTTGATATGTGAGATTTATTATTTTTTAGAGGCCAGAGTCATCAGCGATTTGAAGACCATTAACGATTTTGCTGTTACACAATTTGCAGAAAAAGCTCAATATGATCCTGCAATTGAAGAAGAAAAGTTAGATTTGAGCGCTGATCTAATCTGCAAGATCTGTAATAGTAAGTCCGCTAGCCTACCTACTCTAAGACGACATATGTCCGATATGCATGGGGAGGAAAAGTTTCAATGTGACCAATGCTCTTTTAAAACCAGAAGAAAACCATCCCTAAAAATTCACATTTTAGTGGAGCATAAAGGCCATAGGTTGCACTGTGATAGATGTGAGAAAGCCTTTACACGTAAATCTAACTTGGAAAGACACATTCTAACGGTCCATGAGGGTAAAAGGTATCACTGTGATCAATGCGATTTTGTTGGTTCTCAATCCACACTGCTCAAAGAACATATAGATGACGTGCATAAAAATATACTTCATAGCTGTGACCAATGTAGTTTTACAACGCATAAAGCTCAAACATTAAGATTGCACAAACATGAGCATAAAGGTTTGGACAAAGGAGTGGAGAATGAAAATAACTCAGCTCTTTTGAAGCAGTGTAATTACTGTGACAAAAAAGTGTCGGCTAGAAATTTTAATTCCCACTTACTCGGTATGCATGACAAATCCGAACAGTATTCATGTGATCAATGCGGTTATGAAACACATGCAAAGCAAAGAATGAATCAACATATGAAAAGGCATGAAGGTAACCTACTTTTATGTGATCAATGTCCCTACATTGGGAAAGTTAAATTTGATCTGTATAAGCATAAGCAGAAGGTTCACGAGGGGATAAGCTTTCCCTGTGGTTTATGTGACTACTCATCGTATAATAAAGGACATTTGAGAACACACAAAGAGGCTGTTCATATGGGGATCAAATATCAATGTGATATTTGTGACTTTAGAGGATCAACCAAAGGGAATTTAAAAACGCACATGGAGACCAAACACGATGAAACCAAGTACCCTTGTACGCAGTGTGATTACAAAGCTAGCACACATAACGTGTTAAACTTACATATGAGGAAAAAACATTAAATTGTTAAATGTTTTCTCTATTTGTGGAAAATTAACTTTGTAATGTTATTCATGAAAGTGGGGTTTCTGAAGTATTTTCTCTTGATAATATCGTTTGGTATTGATTACGTCAACCATGCTACTTTTTCCTTTCCATCATTTTCAATACTTGAATCCTCCAGCTTATATGTATTTAAAGACGAATGTAGTTCAGCAAAAAAAAATTAATGTAAACCCTATAATATTCATTTTCCTTACAAGTTGAGTTCAGGGGCCGAATTTAAAGAATTCAAATGGCGGTTTAACTTTAAGCCGCGGCTCAAATATGGTTGGTTCCACTTAAATTTGAAATAATTTTTTCACGATTTAAGCCGGCGGTCAATTAAAACCGGTTTTTGGGGGATTTGAGACGCGACTCAAATTCATTAAATTTGGACACATAATGTTTAAAACCCGTTTGAGACCATCATAATGTATGATTTGTGTAGTAAATATCGTTAATTACTCATTTTATTTACCATGAATCATTTATCAATCAAATTCATCGAATGATTCAAGCCTTAAATTTAAGATTTTGTCTCAAAGATGTGATTTATTGTCGACCTAAATGATCCGCAATTTTCAGCGTTGCATGGCCGAATTGCGGTACCTACCTGTTAGTTCTTAATATGAAAAGATAAAAATTCTCTTAATTTTCTTCATTGTTCGTTTCAAAAGATACTTAACTGGGTTTCTAGATCTTCAAATTGAGTGTCATTTGAATTAAGTCCCTGACGTTCTCAGTTTTATATTTTTTCCAAGATTTGAACATTTTAACTTGTTATTCCTTTATGCCCTTTTTTCATCCCGTTTCAGAGAGATTCAAGGCTTATACTGATCTTAAGGAAAACGAGATAATTTTTTCTGGTTTTTACAAAGATAATAATAATAACGGTAATAATGATATTCAGGTTAACCATAATTCTGAGAAAACTAAGGTCCCCCTATAGAAAATGGACAGAAATTAATTTTATTATTACCTGTTGGCAATCCAGATTGTAAAGTATATGTGTCGATTGAAAAGTGTATGTGTTACAAGGTTAATTGGCTAATAACCAGTGCTTAGGATCCATTTAATTATGATGCGGATCCGGATCCGGATCCTGGATCCGCACTGGGAAAAAATGGATCCGGATCCAGGTTATTTAAGATTTACTGAATAAAATAAAAATAATTATTAATTTTTTTGTTTTATTTTTTTCGCTTGTATTTATCTTAAAACTTGGTAAACCATTCAGAAATGAGGAAATTTTTTTTAACCTGGTTGATATTTTATCCCTTGGATCGGGATCCGTGGATCCGCATATTTTTGGGGATCCGGATCCAGGATCCAAAATCTTGCGGATCCAACGGATCCGGATCTTAAGCACTGCTAAAAATGATACATCTTTACAATCAAATTTCTCATAAGCACTTTTTTACGGATTGTAAAATTGTATGGGTTTTAAATAAAATTATATGATTCGGTAATTCTTTTAAGTTAGAAATCTTTACTTGAAATTGCAATTTGTAATCAAAGCATTTTTTGTCCTTATCAAAGTTGTTCCTAGTAAAAATCATATATTGGAATTTGGCATTCAGTTTAATAAGGTTTATCAATTTGTTGCATGAACAGAGTGAAGCTGTAACTAATGATAAATGATTATTAAAACATAATGATTAATACTAATATCCTCAACTTACGGAATGGAATGGAAGATAACTTACTCCTGATCCAACAAATCCACCTGATGATACAGAAAGAAGTAGAGGAGCAGAAAGGGTTTAAAGAGAGTGACCGGCTATGTAAGGTAGTTGAATTGAGTATGCAGTGTTGTGGAAAACTTATTTCGAATTCATTTGAGACATATTAAACGTTTTAAAGATATGTAAATCCTGAGTTTGAGCGCAAATTCGACGTTCAAAACTCCTACTTTAGGGGTGGATACATTTTCAGAATTAGTTTTTTTTAAATTATTAAATAACGACAACGAAAAATAAAGTAAAAATTATACAGTAAACTAATTAGATGGTTAGGAACATATTTGTCAATAAATCAATGCTCAAATCGATTATTTCGTTTTCATTATTATATTGAATTTCTAATTTTCTTTGAATTTATTCGCAGATTTCTTCAAATTCTTCAAATGTCGTCTTTTCAATAATAATTCTAGAAAATCTGCGAACATCTTTTTGAATAATGAGAAACTAGAATAATGAGATAATAGAAACTAATAATTGAACAAGATTACTTAATTTCAATGATAAGATTAATTTTCATTTTCTCAACATGTTCCCATACATTACGTCTGTAGTTTATTGTAGAACTTTTTTACATTTTATGTCGTCGTTTAATAATTAAAAAAAAACTAATTCTGAAAACGTATCCACCCCCAAAGTAGGAGTTTTCAACATCGAATTTGCGCTCAAACTCAGGATTTACAGATCTTTAAAACGTTTAATATGTCTCAAATGAATCCGAAAGAAGCTTTCCACAACACTGCATACTCAGTTCAACTACCTTACATAGCCAGTCACTCCCTTTAATGATGTGAGCCATGCTACCCAGCAACATATTGACTCCATTAGCACATTATTCACACTGGGAGTATCCTGGCTCAAAGATAGTAGAAATTTTGCCCTCAACTATATTCAAGGTAAAGTGTGAATTCATTGCAAGTCAATCCTACCAGCGTAAACAACATAATGACATTAAAAAAAAAGTTGATAGCTGTAAAAATTGTGAAATCACCACCTCCATACCAGGTTATCTGAAAGTGCACAAGGAAACCCATTTAACCCAACACACGGAAACATTTTGCAATATGACTATTGTAGTTTTGAGGCTCCGGCGGGAAATATGAAGATTCACATGTTGGACAAACATGACAAATCTAAATCGTATTAATGTGACAAATGTGATTTTGTCACCAACTCGACCAAAATCTGGAAAGAACATACAAAAACTCATGAATGTAATTATTTACTCTGTGATCAATGTTCCTACGTTGGAAAATATAATTCAGATATTTTTATGCACAAGAAAAAAGTATATGATGGGACCAGATATCCCTGTAATTTATGTAATTATTCTTCACTTCGAATTGGACACGTAAGAGCCCTCAAAGAGGCTGTGCAATTGGGGAATAAGCATGATTGTCACGTTTGTGAATTAAAAGCGTCCACCAAAGGAAATTTAAAATAACAAAGGAGACCAAGCACAATGAGGAAAAGTTTCCTTGTGATCAGTGTGATCATAAAGCAGCTACACAGTATGGATTAAAGAGGCATTTGAAGAAAAAACATTAGATTGGAGAAAATTCTGAACGATTACCATTTTCCTAAATTATTAAATGCTCATTTACTTTAAAACATTTTCATATGAAATTTTTTAAATGCAATTTTTTGGGTAACTGATTATTTCTCTTTAATTAATGAAAACGTGTAAAATTGTGTATTATTTTCAGACTAAAATGTTGTACTTCCATCCAGATCATGAAAGATACAAGGCTTCCAACGATATTGAGGAAAACAAAATGAGTTTTACTGGTTCATACTTATTAATTTAATTAATTGTTTAATCTTTTTTTCCATAGATAACGAAATGAATAGTTTAAATTATCTATTGATCCCCCCCCCTCCCGCTCTTTTCATCTTTTCGCAGTTCAAGGGTTAGAGTGTCTAACTTTAATAGGACTTTTGGGAAATCATTCTTACATTGTTTACTTTGGAATGTGGTAGTTCATGAAAAGCTTCATGAACGGGTTTGTATTTTTTTTTTTGGTAAATAAACCTCCCCCCCCCCTTTATTTTCTTATTTCCCTAGGAAATTAAGTAGGATTGGTTAATCACAATGAATTGAAAAAATATATATATTTGCAATTTACAAGTTCATTTTTAATCTTTTTTATCCCAAATCTTCGAAAATCGTTTCCCCTCCCATTTTTCAACCACCTAGTTTTCTACAGTAGCCAAATCATTTTGTTGTGTCTTCAGAGCACAAAAGTAGGTTCTGATGATAAAAGAATATTAAAGCATATAATGATTGATATTCTCAATCTGAGGAATGGAATGGAAGATAACCTACTTCTAATCCAACAAATCCACCTGATGGTACAGAAGGAAGGAGAGGAGCAGAGGGGGTTTAATGATGTGATCCATGCTGCCCAGCAACATATTAAAACAACCAATTCAGTTTATACACTTGGCGTATCTTGGCTTAAAGATGAGACTGCTTATGCCCTCAGCATTATTCAAGGTTTATAAGTTTATAATGATTACTTGTGAATTTAAAAAAACATGTTTGTAACAGAAAATGGGAAGTTTCATGATTTTTGTATGTTGTTAGAAAATCTTTATTTTTAAGAACAGTCTCCTAAGGTTCTAGTTTTTTAAAATTTTAATGATTTTTAAATAGGATTTTTGAGCTTTTTGGATTTAAATTTTATTTTTTTGAGGAGGAGACTATTTTAAGATGGGTATTGGGTATCCTGCGGACATAGTTTATCTACAGTCATCGTTGTATTTATCAATACAATGAAGACGACTTACGCTTTCAATTTTTCTCTCTACCAAGGTTTTAAGCAGCATATGGATATACATGAACATTGAACATGGAAACAAAGAGAAGCTGTCATTATCAGCTTCTCTTTGTTTACTTGTAAACTAATAATTTGAATAAAGCTTGTTTGAAGTCTAAACTTAAATAGTAAAGTCGTCTTCATTGTATTGATAGATAGACATTATTAAATCACTTTTTTCATAATTTTATTTCCAGGAAAAGAAAGCAAGGAAGATTTGGAGATGACAGGTTATGATACGAGTGCTGATGAGTGCCATGAAATTAAAATAGAAATGGAAGAAATCGACGAACCTGGTCCTTTAGATCCTGTAGACCCTAGTCAAGTTCTAGTGCATCAGATGAAGGAGGAGGAAGGAGTTTTCGAGGATGTAAAAGGTAAAAAAAATTCTAAAATATTTCGGGAAAATATTAAATTCTTGATTTTGTTCATTTTCTTACATAATTTTGTTGAAGAACATCTGATTTTTTTAAAGAATTTTGTCTTGTAAAAAATTTATTTGAATTATCAAAATATGTTTTTTTTTTAGATGAAGATGGTGACAAATTTGTTACAAGGAATCGCAATCAAACTCTAGATCCAGATAAAACCAATAAATCAATATTTTCCTGTTCTTTATGCGAATATCAAACTCAGAAACGGTACGTTTTAAAACGACATATATTAGTGAAACACCAAGGCCTGCGATTCAAATGTGATCAATGTGAGCGGTCTTTCAGCGAAGAATATAGTTTAAGAAGACATGTTAGCAATATTCATGAAGGAAAACGATACTTTTGTGATGAATGCGATTTTTCAGCTTCCAGTTCAAGTATGCTTAAACTTCACACGGACCGGTTTCATCTGGGTATAGAATTCCCTTGCAACATATGTGGACATTTGGCTGCTACTAAAGCTATTTTAAAAGTGCATAAAGAAATCGTTCACGAGAAAACCAGGTCCTTCTTGTGTGACCAATGTGATCATAAAGCGTCAAATAAAGGTAATCTGAGGTTGCACATCCAAAACACACACAACACAAGTATAGTGTATGCTTGTGATGTTTGTGATTACACCACGTACAACAAAGTATGTTACAAGGGACACAAACAGAGACATGTAAGTCAGTATTTATGTGAACTGTGTCCCTATATAGGCAAATCAAAATCTGGACTACAGAGACACAAGCAAGTTAAACATGATGGAATACGATTCCCTTGCGACCAATGTAACCATTTAGCACGCGACAAAGTTCATTTAAAAACACACAAAGAAGCAGTGCATTTAGGAATTAAGTATCCATGTGAGCAATGTGAATTTTCAGCTTCAACTAAAACTAATTTGAAAGAGCACATTGCCTGTAAACATGATGAAACAAAGTATCCATGTGATCAGTGCGAGCATGTTGCAAATACACAATATGCATTGAGAAAACACATGAAGACAAAGCATATTTCTACATCTTTAAGAACGTCTTCTCCAAGCAATTAAATTAATTAAATTTCTCATAAATTTGAATCAATAAATTTAATAATTTTTATTTGCAGATTTAAACAAAGATGAAAGAGCATGGAGGTTGAACATATATGAATTTTTCCAGGTAAACACTGATTTGGTATGTTCTGTAATCTAGTTATAACGTTAAAAATTAATTTATTGAAAATTCTGTTGAGTGTGATTACGTGGCGGGCACTAAATCTCATTTAGGAATCCATTCTCGAAAACACAGAAAAGATACTCGGACTCCAGCCATGTGTGATCAATGCCACCATATCGCATCAAATGAAGGCAACTTTAAAAACACATCGATGACATACATGATACTAGTATAATTTATTCCTGTGATCAATGTGATTATACAGTAATCAACTTCTGAAGCTTCACAGGAGGAGACACTTAGGTCCGTATCTATGTGATCAATGCCCTTATATTGGAAAATTAGACGGAGACTTGAAGTATCATATCAAGGTTAAACATGATGGAATAAGGTATCACTGTGATCTATGTAAACATTCTGCATTAACTGCGTCACACGTGAAAAGACACAAATAGGCTGTACACATTGGGGTGAAATATCCTTGTGATCTTTGCTCGTTTTCTGCCTCTAATAAATCTAATCTGAAGGAGCACAGAGCATGCAAGCATGATTATACAAAATATGATAATATCCCTGTGATTTATGAGAATATTGGGCTTCTACAAGAATAGCACTGAATAAGCACATGAAAATAAAACATTGTGAATCATTTGCTTAATGATTAATTACCTGTTATTCATGTGACTTCTTACTTGCATACTAATACTAATTTCTCTATATTTTTAGATTAAAAATGTCTCTTTTTTCTGAGAGATTGCAAGCATCCACTCATTTGCAGGAACATTAAGATTTAATTTGCTCATAATTTTTATAATTTTGAATATATTTATTTTTGGCTTGAGTCAGAAAGGGGGGGGGCAGTTTTAACATCTTTACATATTCCTTGAAAGAGAAATTAACTTAGATTATTTTAAATCTGTTTAATAAAGAGTATAGAAGCTGTCATTGACGATAAACGAGTATTAAAACATATATTGACTGATATTCTCAACCTGAGGAACGGGATGGAAGATAACCTACTCCTAATCCAGCAAATCAACCAGAAGATACAGAAGGAAGGAGAGGAGCTGAGTGGGTTTAATGATGTAATCCATGCTGCTCAGCAACATATTGACTCCATTGAACAAATATATACACTGGGAGTATCCTGGCTCAAGGGTGAAACTGAATTGGCGTTTATATTGTTACAAGGTGACTATGAATTAGTTTTTTTATCAAATTTATTACTGACATTTCTTTCTTTTTAGATGAGGATTATGAAACGAAAAGGGATTGTGAAATAAAAATAGAAATGGAGGATATTGAAAATACTTTTTACGGAGAATCAATAGAACATGTTAAAAACGAAGAACCTTCTAATTTCTGTCCATCAGTTGGCGTAGAGTCTACCCATACCCCGGAACCTGTCTGCGTAGAACCTACTGATGTACTGGATATTGTGTGTGAAGAGTCCAAGGAGACCAAAGTTCCCGAGATAAAGGAGGAAATTGATGCAACAAAAAAGAACCAAGGTAAATAAATAAGTTACCATATCTTGTTTTACAATTGTTGATTGACGCTTTAAAGTTTTTTAATTGCGTCAAGAAATTGTTCCATGCTTTCGGTGTTGGCAGATACATCGAATAGAATACCAAGGCTATTAATTTAACAATTTGAAACAAAAGTAAAAGTTATATTAGATGTCTAATGTATTTAATGTAGAGTAAAGTGCACCATCATGATAATATTCGGCTTATTATTTTTTATTTTAGATTAAAGCCCTTCACAACTTAATAAAACAACTTGGTTGTATTTAGTCAACTAATTCATTGACAGATAGTAATTAAGAACAGTGTTGGAAAGCGTTTTTTTTCAATTTAATGTAAGGGATTTATTCAAGTTTTTAACAAAGGGTGCTTTGTGCACAATCATGTCAGTAGTGCAAGCGACTTTAATAATCTGTGCACGTACAGAACAATATATCTTTTAACACAAAATAAAGAAAAACTATGTAGCATAGAAAAAAGTTTATAAAAATACTATGAAAATTTCTTTTTATATATTGTTAATAAAATGCAAGGATAGAAAGATATGCCAGTTCAAATAATCTGGCTAAAAATCTAAGAATAAGATGTAATGCAAACATTCCAATTATATCCAATACCCTTTGATATACAATTTTATCTCAAAAATTATTTAAACACATCAATATTTGTCCAATGCAAAATAAAAGTTAAGAAATCTTACCTCTTGTTTAAACGCACTTATCAGTCATATGAAGACCAAATATGAGGAAACTTCTTTTATAAAAGTTTTAGAATTATACATTATACGTAATATTGTCTGTATACATGATAACTCGTTTTTTGTCCAATTTGGATATGTAGGTCATTAAGTTAAGAAACCCTTAGTTTTATTATAATTACGCATCTGTATTATTATGGAAATGCACTTTACTCTTTATGATGTCTAATTGCATTTAATGAACTATAAATTCCATATAATTGGCTAAATTATTAATGTTTATAATATGTTTTCTTAGCTAAAAGGGACTGTAAACTTTATTTCAAGTGAACCTCCATTTATTTGACAATGATCCAAGGAAAAAATATTTTCTTTTTTTCTGATAATTTCCTTTTATTTCTTTCTAGTACAACTCCACAAGTCACTTTTACAGAGAAATTATTAAAGATAACATGGTTTCTCTATGAAAGATAAGGATATCTCATTCTTCATTTATCAGACAAAGGTTTAAAGGAAAACGTTGTAAATCGTACATGCCTCTCAACAAATGAAGGTTTACTTGAACATACAGTTCCTTTAAGCTAATAAACCATAAAATAATCATGTGGGGATAGTAAAGTATTTATTTTTAATTTTAGAGAGAATCTACAAAGAGGAAGAAACTGAAAGAAAACATCAAATCAGAAAAGCCAGAACGGTGAAAAGTAATCTATTAAGATTTTCTTGTACTTTATGTGAATATAAATCAGCAAGAAAAGATAATTTAAATCAGCACATTTTAGTAAAGCATGAAAATGTCGGATACAAATGTGACCAATGTGATCGAACCTTCACCCAAATGCCAAGTTTAAAAAGGCATACAATAGAAATTCACAGTAAGCAGAAGCTAGAATGTAATAAATGTGAATTCTCTACTCCAAGGTTAGAAGTTTTAAAGCTACATGAAGACAGTGTTCACAGAGGCATTAGATACCCCTGTGATGTGTGTGAATACGTCGGGGTTGGTAGCTTACACTTGAAAAGGCACATGGTGTTACAGCACAATGAGACTGGAATTACTGACGAAAGAAATGTTTTTCCGTGTAGTGAGTGTGATTATGTCGCTGGATCTACGTCTTATCTAAGAATTCATATTAAGAAGCATAAAGAAACATCTTCCATGTGTGATCAGTGTGACCATATAGCATCTAATGAAGGAAACTTAAAGATACACATTGACAATATTCATAATAAAAGTGTCATTTACTCTTGTGATCAGTGTGAATATAAAGGATATAGTAAACCTGCATTATATCTGCACAGAAAACGACATTCTGAACATCATCTTTGTGATCAATGCCCCTATGTGGGAAAATTAAAAGCCAATCTCAAAAACCACATAAGAGTAGTACACGAAGGATTAAGATTTCCTTGCGACTTATGCAATCATATGGCAATAAGTCGGGGTCATCTAAAAACACACAAAGAGGCTGTTCATATCGGGAAAAAGTATCCATGTGATCTGTGCACTTTCTCTGCCTCAAATAAAACCAACTTAAAAGAGCATAAAGCTTGTAAACACGATGATACTAAGCATCCATGTGACCATTGTGATCATTTAGCGTCTACACAATACGCATTAAGGAAGCACATCAAATCAAAACATTAAATTTTTTTGTGAATTGAAGTATTTATTATTATGATGATTTATATTTTTATACATTTACAAAATTTAATATCTATCTATCTATCTATTATGACATCCCAATAACACGAATGTTACCAGGAAACCACCCTTCCCTGAAACCCTCTGCCTCCCTGAGGAGTACGTGGGTCAACCTATTTATGTTACTTGGTTTTGTAAACACTGAACGTTAAAACTATTTATGTCTTAACAAACAAGTAATTTAATTAAGAATATTTCAGATTAAGAATGTCGAGATGTTACAAGACAACGATAACGGATCTTCAGGTCAATATACTTATTATTAATATATTTATTAATCTGAACATTCTCTGAAATGCGCAAGTATTAAAGTCTTGTTTTTGCGAATTCTATTCTGTCATGATGATTTATTTAATTTTATCCTTCACACTGCCCAGATTAAAATGCCAGAGACAAGCACAAACTATAAAAATAATATTTTTTCTAATTTCAGGGTTTACAAGCTGTAACTGATGATAAACGAGTATTAAAACAAATATTGATTGATGTTCTCAACCTGAGGACTGGAATGGAAGATAACCTACTTCTAATACAGAATGTCTATCACACTGTAAAAAATATCAAGTCCGTGAGCACAGATTTGATGAATGCAATATCCGTAGTTCAGCAACATATTGATTCTATGAATAGAGTGTGTACACTGGGAGTATCCTGGCTCAAATATGATGTGGATTTTTCTCTTAATTACATCACAGGTTAGATAAAATTCATTAAATAGAATTTTCTAGCTCGGAAATCCAGCTTTGTCGGGAATCCAAATTTTCTCAAAAAATCCCTAAAAAGTCCCTGAATTTAGATATTTTTAATTCAAGCTATAAAGACATTCCATTTGGTCTACTGAGTTTTCCAATCAAAATTTGAGGAAAATCGGTCAAGTTATGATCCGATATAACAAGCAAACAGAGATAACTACTTTATTTATATAGAAGACCTAACAAATACCAAACTCAATGTTTTAGACGCTCAAAATGAAAGAGACGACCCGAAACCGAAAGAGAATCCTGAATGTGAGATTAAGATTGAAATACCAGATTGGAAGAACGCAGTTATCATTGATCACAAAAATGATATGAATATCACAGGCTGCGTGGAAAACTCGGAAACCGAACATGTAGACTCACTAGTTGTCAACATCATGGAAACTCAAGTTTATCCAGCCACCGACGATGTAAAACGAGTAGATGTAAAGGAAGCTGTCTGTGTAGAACCTGGAGTTAAAAACTGCGTTAAATCTATAGACAAACTGATTCCCAAAATGAAAACGAGTAAACGCGTAAAAAAAGGTAAATTTTCGCTAAAAACATCATTTATTATTAGAAAAAAATTAAAATTCTAGAGATTAAAGTAGGTTTTTTTAGAAATGGTATTAAAACAGGAAACTCAGAGTTCTGAATCAAATGAAGGATCTGATAAAAATGACGTTTTTAGATTTCCATGCAATTTGTGTGATTATAGAACAAATCGTAAGAACACCTTAAAGAGGCATACATCAAGTGTTCATTTAAAAATTCGATATAATTGTGATGAATGCAACAAAACCTTTTCCCAACCCAAGAGTTTAGAAAGACACAAACTGAATATTCACCAGGGAGAAAGGGTGTATTGTGAAGAATGTAGCTTTTCTACTCCCCGGGTGGAACTATTGAAGCTTCACCAAAACAGTGTTCATAAAGATATCAAGTTTGTTTGTACTTCATGTGATTTTATCGGACTTACAGAACGCCAGTTTATTATACACAAGGTGTTGAGGCACAACGAGACGGATATAGCTGAAAATCAGACTAGTTTCCCCTGTGATAAATGTGATTATGTGGCGGGTTCAATATCGTATCTAAAGATACACGTGAGAAAGCACAACAATGGTGACGATGAATCTTTAATATGTGATCAGTGTGAATACGTGGCTCCTAGAAAGTTAAACTTGAAATTGCACATGGAGAACAAGCATAGCAGTGTTTTGTACACTTGTGATCAATGTGAATACAAATGTTACAGTAAAGTAACATTTAAGCTGCATAAAAAAAAGCACGAAGGTAGATTTTTATGCGATCAATGCCCCTTCATTGGAACATTAAAGTCTCACTTAAAAAACCATATGAAAATTAAACATGACGGATTTAGAGTTCCTTGTGATTCTTGCAAGTTTATGGCTCAAACTCAGCAGCATTTAAAAAGACATAAAGAAGCTGTTCACATTGGGGTTAAATACCCCTGTGATCTTTGCTCATTTTCATTTTCAAACAAATCAAATCTAAAAGAGCACAAAGCCTGCAAGCATGATGATACTAAACATCCTTGTGAAGAGTGTGATTATTTGGCCTCGTCGCAAATAGCTCTGAGAAAGCACATGAAAACTAAGCACCCCTGTGCAACACAACTGCAGTAAGTTTTATATGTCTTGAGCGCTCGGTTTTAATTTAAAGGGACTGTAAAGGAAAACTGAAAGGGGGTATAGGATAAAACCTGAGAATCTCAGGCGTTGAACGATACATAGAAAACATCTATCTGATGTTTCTGTCTCGAGAAATTGACATAAAACTGTGTCAAAATTATACGAAAATTCAGATTGGTTTCGTATTTGTGGAATATGATCTGTTTATACCTACTACTTCTATACAACAGTATATATTTATGAATTTTCGTATAGATTTGACACGGTTTTATATTAATTTCTCGAGACAGGAACATCAGATAGATGTCTTATATGTTTTATCGTATACCCCCTTTCATTTTTCCTTTACAGCCCCTTTAAGTGCCACGAATGACTTCCCCGAAAAACTTGTTAGCATGAAATTTAATGAATCTTGTACAAGACTTTTAAACAGAGATTTTGATACAGATCAAAATTGAACGAACGTGGAAACTGTAACTCATCATTTATTAAACGTTTTTGTATTCTACCCACCTTTGTATACTCGACATAAAAAAACTGGTTTCCTGTTTAAAATTATATTTTCAGAATCAAAATGAATGAATTTGATTCTCAAAGATTGGAAATTCATAAAGATCTTCAGGAAAACATATATTATTTGGAAAACTATCGAATTACATTTTAATAAAAAAAAATCTATTTAAAAATTCTAGGACCCATTTAACTGATAAAAAAATAATCGGGAACAAATTTTACCAAAGACGTCGAGTCATTTTCATCATTGATTGAATTGATTGAAAATAAAGTTTTTGTACGATTAATTTGTCAAAGGCTTTATCCCAAGTGGAAACTTACCAACTGTGCAATTTTCCATGTATGTTCTAGCCGCAGTTCTCGTCCCCTATTTCAGCCTGCGGCGCATCAGAAGATCTAACCTAACCATTTGGAAGTTTCCGCTTGGGAAATTGTCCTTGGGAAGTCGTCCTTGTGAAAATGCCTAACACCGTTTAATAATATTGTTTCGCTAGAGTATAGAAGCAGTTTCTGATGATAAAAGAATATTAAAACAGATAATGATTGATATTCTCAACCTGAGGAATGGAATGGAAGATAACCTACTTCTAATCCAACAAATCCACCGGATGATACAGAAGGAAGGAGAGGAGCAGAGGGGATTTAATGATGTAATCAATGCTGCCCAGCAACATATTGACGCAATTATAACTGTTTATGCAATGGGAGTATCCTGGCTGAAGAACGATACTGACTTTGCTCTCAGCTTTATTCAAGGTTTAGAATTAATACAAAATCATAATAATAATTTTGGAAGGGACGAGTCCCAAGTTAAGGAAAGCATGGCCGGGTTTGCTGTAATAAGTAACGATTAATTAGATTTTCTATGTTTAGAATCGGCCTTGAACTAATGGGTTTAAGTGGTTTATTGCCTTGCAGGGACAGTAGAAGTAATTACATGTGACTTTACATTTATAGATTGGCATGTCCGATTCACAACGTTACCCTTATTGTCTGAAAAAGACTGTCTGAGATATCCATAATCTTATCTTTAAAAATGAGTTCTTCTAAATTGTGGTTTCTTGATTTACTATGTAAGAAACAATGGGGGAAAAATTAGAATCAAAAAAGTTTCATGAAAAATATGTCCCCACAATTACAGTCCCTTTAAGTATATACCCCTCTGTACAAATAATATTATATGTAGATGGAAACCTGGAGACACATGAAGACGACCTGACCGACGAATATGGTGATATTAGAACAGATTTAGCTGATACGGTCGGTATAGATCACAGCTACGTAATTCTTCCTCAAACATTGAGGAAAATAAAGACTCCATTAAAAAAAAGAGGTTAGTAAANGCCCATACAAACACACATCCTTTCAAACTCAAAAAGAGAAAAACGAACGATTTGAGTAATAGTTTAATTTATTTTAGTAAAATTTAACGACAATCCCAGCCTGCACCCCGTGGCAAATCCTTATTATACATTTTTGTTTTCTGAAAAAAGAGTGGTATTTTTTACTCCCAGCGGAATATATTCAAACTTTGTCTGATCCAAGATGAAATAAACATCCACTGTACACTCTACAGTGCCTTTACATATATTTTAGAGTGTTCAGTTCTATTAACACACCGTGAAACATACACTGTACACTCTACAGTGCCTTTACATATATTTTAGAGGGTTCAGTTCTATTAACACACCGTGAAACTTCCACTGTACACTCTCCCTTTACATATATTTTAAAGGGTTCAGTTCTATTGACACACCGTGAAACATGCACTGTACACTCTATAGCCCCTTCACATATATTTTAGAGGGTTGAGTTCTATTAACACACCGTGAAACATCCACTGTACACTCTCCCTATACATATATTTTAAAGGGTTCAGTTCTATTAACACACCGTGAAACATGCACTGTACACTCTATAGCCCCTTCACATATATTTTAGAGGGTTGAGTTCTATTAACACACCGTGAAACATCCACTGTAACTCTCCCTATACATATATTTTAAAGGGTTCAGTTCTATTGACACACCGTGAAACATCCACTGTAAACTCTATAGTACCTTTACATATATTTTAGAGGGTTCAGTTCTATTAACACGCCGTGAAACATCCACTGTACACTCTACACTCAGGTACACTCTATAGTACCTTTACATATATTTTAGAGGGTTCAGTTCTATTAACACACCGTGAAACATCCACTGTACACTCTCCCTATACATATATTTTAAAGGGTTCAGTTCTATTAACACACCTTAAAACATCCACTGTACACTCTCCCTGTACATATATTTTAGAGGGTTCAGTTCTATTAACACACCGTGAAACTTCCACTGTATACTCTCCCTTTACATATATTTTAAAGGGTTCAGTTCTATTGACACACCGTGAAACATCCACTGTAACTCTCCCTTTACATATATTTCAAAGGGTTCAGTTCTATTGACACACCGTGAAACATCCACTGTAACTCTCCCTATACATATATTTCAAAGGGTTCAGTTCTATTAACACACCGTGAAACATGCACTGTACACTCTATAGTACCTTTACATATATTTTAGAGGGTTCAGTCCTATTGGCACACCGTGAAACATCCACTGTACACTCTACAGTCCCTTTACATATATTNATTATTATTATTAAAAATGGAACAGGAAGACGACATTTAATCAATCATATGTTTATTTGATGTTGTTAGCAATTCCATCATTTTATGTTTTTGTACTAATTTTTAAAAAGTTTGTCAGAAATCAAACCATAAATAGAAAAGTCGTCTTCATTGTATTGATATGAACGCCAATTAAATGTCATTATTTTATTTAAGATGACTCTGCCTACTCCAACACAAAACACCTGGATAGTTCTGATCTGAACCAAGATGAAACTGAAATAAAAACAGAAAACGAGGAATCTAATCTCACGGTGGACGTTGACCCCAGCACTGTATTGAATCTAGATGTTAAAGTGGAGGAACCTTATTTTGACCATATTAACCAACAAACAGGTGAATACGACTTTAAGAGACGAAATTGAGTTTAATTTTAAATGAAACTTTACCAAAAGAAAACTCATCTAACTTTTGTTTTGAGCATCGTTTATCTTGCTTGATTTCGATATCCATTGTGGGATAAATTTGAGAAAAAATTCTTCATCCCTGAATTTATTTTTCCGTTTAAATTGGGCGGATCGCCTAGTAATTGGAGAGTCTCCAAACTGGAGCTGTCCTGGGCAGACCGCCTAGAATAAGTCTTCTCCCTAGGGTGTAAACCCCGTGGATACGTTGTTTCGACGGTCAGGAGCGCCGACCCCTATTTCATTGAATGATGGGTTGTCCTTTAATAATAATAATAATAATAATATATGACCCAAGAAACCCCCTGTTTATATTAAGAGATAATCAGAAAACTCTGGAATAGTAAGACGACTTTGATAATCAAGTTTTAACATGAACCACGGCAATTGTGCAGTGTATTTTTATACGGGTCTGGTAAAACTATATGCTTTGTAACACCATCAAAGACACTTAAGTATGTCTATAATGTCGTCTTCCTATTCCCTTGTTTTCTGGTTATCACTGTATTATATATATATTTTACATATATTTTAGAGGGTTCAGTTCTATTAACACACCGTGAAACATCCACTGTACCTCTCCCTATACATATATTTTAGAGGGTTCAGTTCTATTAACACACCGTGAAACATCCACTGTACACTCTATAGTACCTTTAAATATATTTTAGAGGGTTCAGTTCTATTAACACACCGTGAAACATACACTGTACACTCTATAGTACCTTTAAATATATTTTAGAGGGTTCAGTTCTATTAACACACCGTGAAACATCCACTGGTTCAAATAAGAAACTGAAAACTACCAACATGATTGAAGCTTCTGATGTTAAAATAGAACTAGATGACACTAATGACTACTCGAGTGCTATCGAAGATTCACTGACAGAAGAGGGTGGCTGGAATTTCACTCATCAAGGTAAGCACTCATTTTTTTAGCGAATTGATGTTTTTCTAACCTAAAACGTTAGATTTCCAAGGATTTAAAGTGAACAACGATTGTATTATTTTTATTAATTGTATTAATATTATTAATATTATTAATATTCATTTCTGGAATAAAAATGTTATCAAGTCATCCTATAATCCTGAGAAAATTGATGTAAATATTTTAATTACTGAGGTTTTGTGTCAGCGAGATGGGATTGGTAGATTTGCAGAACAATTTAAGAGGAATCTTAGATGCACGATTGTTTGAAATTCTGTGCTTATACATTTTGCGAGATGGTTATTATAAATAAATATTATTATTATTATTATTATTATTATTATNATATATATAATAGGACCAATTTCTTCTATTTTATTTCTTGGCACTGCTGTAAGAAATCTAGCCCCGAGATAACTCAACGATAACTACACTCAAAGTCTAATTAGAATCTAACTGACTCTATCTCTAGCCAAAACTCAAGGCTCTGTATACGTCCGTGTTAATCAACAATTCGTATTCAACTACTTTATTTTATATACAAGTAAAATCGAAACTGACCGTAATGGACAGTCAGGGTCAACATTGAAATAGATAAGATATATTACTAACATTGATAATAAGGATCATACTGGACATCAGAATATGCTACACTGCTGTATATAATACAGTAAGTGTATTTGGGAAAACTTGTTTCTTCAGGTTGTCTACTTACAGCAACTGGAGAGTATATTTAGCATCTGATGTCTGATATAACATTATATTAGTGAAATAAGTTGTTTATTATTTTAATACTTTCAGGAATGGAATCTGAACCTGTTCTTTTTACTAAAAACGGCGGAAGAGTTTTGGTATTTAACGGGTATACAATTACTTTATTATGTTTGTAATACATCTTTTTGATTTATCGATTAACAAACTTTATTAAACTTTGTCAATTTTTAGAATATCGAATATCGATTAAACAGTGATAATCAAACAACTCTGGAATATAAGACGACTTTGAGCTCAATTTATTTACTTCAAATACTCTAATAAACATAAGACACAGCATGTGTGCAGTGTAAACAGACCCATACAACTTAATTGTGATTCAATAAGTTACAAGTACATCTAATTGCTTTGTAATACACTCAAGTATTGCTGTCATGTCGTCTTCCTATTCCACAGCTTTCTGTTTATTACACATGTAGTTTTTAAGGTAAAGATTAAAAGACAACGTTGTGAATCTTTTATGGCATGTTTTCTATTGAGACCAGACATTAGAGGAAAACCTTTTTTGGAATGTTACATCGTCTTTACGCAACATCCCCCTACTGAACTTCTGACCTACTAACTTTCCGACCTAGTGCAATATCGGACCTACGCCAGCTGTTTATTTTTGTTTTATTTTAGGGTTAGGTTAGGTTAAGATAATTTCTGGGCCGAGCGCTGCGGTTAGGACAGGCTAGGGGCTGAACGCCGCGGCTAGGACAGGCTAGGGGCCGGGCGCTGTGGCACAAGTCCATATAGAAGCTGTAAAACCATGCGCTAGTAGGTCGGATGTGTAGTATAGCGGATTTGGCGTAGGTCAGAAGTAGAGTATAGCGGATTTGCTTAGGTCGAAAAATACACCACCTCTTTTGTGAAAGATCCTGTATTTTCATAATCAAGACGACTTTTAATATAGCTTTAGACAAATAAATATGCGGCATCTGCGCTTAACATCAAAACAAAATTTCTCTTTAAAAGTTAACAATAAAGAAATAAAAAAAAACAAGTTTGTATGCAAATACAAGTTATTTATTTAAAAAAAAATGATATAGTGGAAATATATATAGATTTTTGTTTCGGGACAACACAACATGAATCCCAAATTTTATAATATCCCAGAATTAGGGGAATTTGGTGTTCATTGTTTTGAGTATGTTTCAATTCTTTTTACTTTAATGTTGTGTATTCTTATTTAGTTATATTTTCCGACGGAATCGAGCTGTGGAATCAACTAATGTAATGTACTGGAAGTGCCAGGAAAATAAAACTAGAAAACCAAATTCGGTAAGATTGTATTAGTTATTCCTGACACCCCCCCCCCTGGTGCCAAAAGGGTGTGTTTACCACCCTCAAGAATTGAATAATCAAAAACGTTTTCCAATTTACATTTGGTGGTCTAGAGATGGGCGCGTTCGACATTTTTTCTGTTTGTTCATTCTTCGTTCGTTAAATACCCATTTCGTTTTTTTCGCCAATTAAAGTTCATTTATTAGTTTTTGTACGCATCTACGAAAATATTTTACCCAATTTCTGAAATATATATATGCCCCTTTATGATTTGTTTTTCTAGTGCAAAGCTAATCTGAAAACTACTTATTTTGATGTTATGATTGACAAACCTGGACCTCAAGTGATCATTGAGGTAAGCATTAGATTAATAAAATTAACATAGCTTTGTGTTACTCATCTTCGAGCATTTCTTTTTCGTTCATTAAAAAAAAATTAAATTTGCGGCTTTTTCTGTTTTCTTTGGCAGATTTCCTAAATGAAACTTTTTTAAGTATTTATTTTTGAGGCAACGTTTTAATTTTCCACAAACAACTTTTTTCTGCGAGGTCTCAAAAACAAGAGAAGAACTTAATCTAATTAGCTTTTTTTGTTGTTGTTAGGGGACTCTTCATAATCACTCAGTACCTGAAGATCAGATGATTTTGGTTGAACTTGTTTGTAATTTCAAGAAAATATTAAAACAAGACCCATCTAGATCTTTAAGGTAAGCTAGGAGTACAAGTTTTATAAAAATTAATTCAACTCCTGGGAGGAGGGGGGATTTCTAAGATTTGTATGGAAAATGAAAAATTGCACATGAACTTATTCTAATATATTTTTTTACTCCTTTTTACTCCAAAATAATTGTTGATTTTCTTCTTAAAACCATTAATTTTCCTAAGTCAGCAAACCCTGCATTTTCTGATTTTAACGTTTCTTGAATTAAAGTAAATGAAAATCTTTTACTTAACTTTTTATTTTTTATTTTACTTTTACTTTAAATTTTCTTCAGCCTAAGGAATTTAATGTAAAATATTGGGGGGAAATCGTTTAAATTTTCTGATTAATTTGTTAAAGGTCTATTTACGACGAACTAGTCAGAGGTTACCCATCAAATTTTCTGATTAATTTGTTAAAGGTCTATTTACGACGAACTAGTGAGTGGTTACCCATCAAATTTCTGATTAATTTGTTAAAGGTCTATTTACGACGAACTAGTGAGTGGTTACCCATCAAATGCTCCTGTTCCCCCATTAGGAAAAATCAGGTAAATTATTTAGATGTAGAAGTAATCATTTTTAGGTGAGAATTTTGATTTTAGGACTTTTCAAATTGAATTTGAGGGATCTATTTAGTTACCTTAAAATATTTTTTTAAGCATTTGAAAAGAAAAGATTCACGAAATGGTTATAAATTTGTGTTCATTTATAATTTTTTGAATCAGCGTAGGGTTCTAATCTAAGTCGGAAAGTGTCAGCAGAAATATCATAACAAACTTTCGTTAAATAAATTCAGAACTTCCAGAATAGAAGTAGAACTTTGAGGAAATATTCATAGCCTGGATCCGGATCCGCATATGCCCAAACTGGATAAATTTTTCTAATTGATCTAAGAAATGGATCCTAAACGCTGTTCGGACTTTTTGTTCTTAATAGTGCACTTGCGTATTTTGATCTGACTTGACTTTAAAAACCAAATGTTGAAGTGTTATCATCACCTTTAATTTTTATAAACTTCAATTAAATTTTAACACAATTTGTTTTTAGGCTTCAGTTACGGCGATTTAAGAATTCGCAGCTGGCAGCCGTTGAAAGGGATGAAATTCACACAGAATAAAAGGATAATAATATATTACAAAAAACAACGAATTTTTCGAAAGAAACCATGATTAATTGTTTTTCACGAATATTTCATACAATTTCTGGTCATTTAATCTTCTAACATTATTTTTTACGATCAATTTGTTTACTTTGTTTACTATTTTTATTTAATTTAAGAGCTTGATCTAGACGATTATATTTACGTCATCATAGATCACTAGTTTTGACAAAAACTAAATGAATAAATGATTAATATTTTCAGATCAAAATGGATTTAGATGAACTGGATTCAGAGAGTTCCCATAGTTTCACTAATATTCAGGAATACATAGAAACGTATTTTTTGTCTAAATTTCATTTAAAAAATTTTTTAAAATTATTTTGTTTTAGTTTTGATTCTTGTTAGTTTTTGTTTTACCAGAATTGATGTTGAAGGGGTGGTTCATGAAAAAGATTTGATTATGAGATATATGAAATTAGTATCAAAAGAAATTTAATCGATTCTAATATTGTGGTCTAATTTTGTTCTGTGAAAAACTTGAAACGAATTTTATGTTAATTTTCTTTAAAATTTAAATCCTTTAAGATTGGCTCAGAAAGAAAAAAAAATTCCGTTTATTTTTTTTAACCCCAAATTTACCTTATAAATGATGAAGGTTTCATCTTTATAAGCAGCGAATGGTTTGGGGTACTATATACTTTTGTTCTGTTTATTATTATAATTATTACCATTTACCAATCAACCTACAGTCAAAGTATCATGTCCTATAGATTCCCAAATATGCGAAACAACTGTCAATTACCTTTATCAGCGCCCCCCCCCCCCTGAAAAAAAACGTTTGCTTACAGGGAAGATGATCGATCAAATATTATTTTTAAGATATATCCCGTTACTTAACGTTAAATCTCGTGGACTGTCCTTCTTTCTTGTTTGAATTCTATCGCTTGATTAGAGCCGAGACGTTGTTGGGGTTGATAAACTAACATTGAAGCAATTAACAGTTGATATTCTCAAGCTGAGGCAGGGGATGGAGGGAAACCTACGTTCAATGAAACAAATCAATATTCAGATTAAACAGAATCAACCAAAAGAGAATGGAGAAGGAAAGGAAGAAACTAATGTAGAGGAGAAGAGAAAAGGAAGCATAGAGGAGGAGGAGGATGAGAAGGAGATGAAAGCAAAGGAAGAAAAGAAAGTAGTGGATGTAAATAAAGGATTTGATGAAGTTATGAGTATAGCGGAGAAACATATAGAAACGGTGAATGCAATGTATAGTCTCGGGGTCTCATGGCTTAAAGATGAAAATGATCTCAGTGGTGGCAAAGGTGACATCTTTTTAATAATATTTTTTGTAATCTTTTGAAAAGGGGAATGGGTACATTTCCCTTCCAATGGCACAAATTTTCAAGATGGATTCAAGCCTTCATTTTTCAAACTATTTTCTTGAGATTTTATATAAAGGTCAGATTAGTGATAAACCCCGTCAGACTGAATGGAATTAGATTATGACAATAATACAAGGAATCAAGAATGCATTTTCTAAGGGCAAAACTGAAATCTCCGACCATAATTGTAAATAATTGTATGTAAATAAGTAAAAAAAGCTGAGAATTAAAAAATACAAAAATCCTCAAGAAATTAAGCTTCAGATTTTTGTGGTTTTCAATTACTTATTCCAGACGTAAATCAATATTCCAGTTTTCCTGTAAAATCTAAGAAGATTTTCTTTAAAAATTAAGATGTTACCCACTTTTTTAATGATTTTGTCTTGGATGGGGGGGGAATAAAAATTGGATTTGATTTTTTTACAGCAAAACATCTTTTTTGTCTTGTTTTATTGATTTTTTATGCGCAAAAAGTTTACATCAAAGAAATAAATTTAAAAAGATTTAAAGAAATCCTTGAAAATTTCTTATGGTGCATTTTTATTTTCAGTCCAGAAAGTTGATTACAACTATGATCTGAATCCAAAGTTTGAACAGAAAAACTTTAAAAATGAAGATGGTAACTCAAATTCAATTTCCAAGGGAAAAATGGCGGGAATCAAAAGAAGGAAAAAATAGACAAAAAATAATTTATCAAATAATCTGGAAGGATTTTACCCAACATAATACAGGCCCAAAGGTGTAACTAAAATCATAAAAACCAAACATATTTTGACATTTTGAAAAAACATTCCTAGAGTTAAACACTAATCTAACCTTAATGTAAAATCTCAAGAAAATAGCTTAAAAAATGAAGGCGTGAATCCACCATGAAAGTTTGTGTCAATTGAGGAGAAATGTGCACATTTCCTATTGATTTGATCGAATAAAACTGTTAAACCAGAAGAACCAAAATTTGCACAAAAAAAAATTTGATTTGTAGTAAAAATGTAAAAAAATTGACAATTCTTGCGAATCTCTTGATCTTTGTAAACTTTTCAATAAAAATTTTATTCTCAAATCAATCTTAATTTCCAGTGACCCTCCGTACAAAAATTTTAATGCCTTGTTTACAACGGTATCCCTAGTTCTTAAACGCTTTGTCTTCTCAATTATGAATTAGATATTAATGTTTATAGTTCTAAAAACTGGTTGTTTTATTGTGATTTCTCTTCATTAGTGATAAGTGTATTTCTACTGCAGAACATATAGGAAATATCAAAATTAAATACATTTAAGCCTAGAAAACATTTTCTACATTATTGATGAGATAAATGTTTCAAGGGTATCGTTGTGAATTGTGAATTGCTATCGTTGCATGGATGGTTACTTAAATCCACCTGTAAAGTCTCTTTAACTCCGGATACTTCTAGATCCTGAAAACCCCCTAGACCATAGATTAATGGATGAAGAAGAGGAGAATAAGGAGATGGAGAGGATGGATATGAGAACCTGGAGATGTGATGATATAAAGATAGAGATGGACGAACTGGAGAATACAGTGATCGTAGACCAAACCAATGTCAAGCTCAAGTTGGAGGATTGTAAAATGGAATTAACAGGTATAGTTTTTTTTGCATTTATTTTCTGTCAGGGTCAAAATTTGGCACAACTGAAGAAAAACAAATGTTAAAAAAAAAACATTTTGGCCTTGACAGAAAAAAAAATGCAAAAAACGAACTAACTGAATGTGCTTCACAACTAACAGGTAAACATTTTAGGGAGTACGTACATTCTTGTTCTTTTCATGTTTCACGACAACACCAAGTTCTTAGAAATGACGAGAAAGATTTTTGTTTTTCTGTCTTCTATATATAAATTTGGCTTGTCTGTTTGTCTGTTTGTCTGTCTGTTTGTCTGTTTGTATCCAATAAACGTCAAAACGGCTGAACCGATCGGGCCCAAATTTGTTGTGGGACATCTAGGGACTCCAGGGAAGGTTTATGAATCATCAAAATTTCAAATATTTGTCTCCATCAAAATTCGATCGTCATTAAATTTTTGAAAATTTTGAAAATCCGCGAAATTTTTTGTGAAAATCCGCAAATTATTTTTGTTTTGTTCTACGATGTATACATAAAGAGAACATGTTCACAATTAATTTAGGAGATGGGCGCGAAGCGCCCACTAAGGCTAGAAAGAAGGGCGCGAAGCGCCTTGAATTTCTAGTGATTGAAATTTCCGTAATTTTCTTGCTCTTCTACTGTAGAAAGTTGTTTTCCAAAAAAGTCGCAGATTATCAATTTTTGTTTAGAAAAACAAAATTATTTTTGTTCATGATGCTAAGTTCATTATTCAAAATACTCTGTAAATAGTGGGTTGCTAGAGATGATTTAGATAGACCATCGTAAATCCAACAGATAAACCCTAAATGAGCCATACATCGAAATAATTTATCATATGTCGTCTTGACAATTTTTCAATGGGTTTTATACTATTTTACACAAATCTCAGTATTTGCGAAAATAAATAAATAGTAATATGCGGGAACAGTTTTTAAGAGCTCCATATAATTATTTAATTTAAAAAAACTAAATATCTGCACCATTCCATTATCAGAAGTGAAGAATACAACATTTGATGAATTCTTTCGATGTATAGCTTATTTAGGGTTTAACTCTATTTTTATTTCAGAATATGCTCCGCTGCCTGGTAAAGTTGAGTGTACAACTGTCCTGGAGTATCCATGTTTACATTGTGAATTTAAAACCTCGAGTTCCCGGGATCTAAAAATACACTTTCTCAATGTTCACACTGAACTCACACACCGATGCAAGCAGTGCAAATTCGTCGGGTTGACAAAGGAGCTTCTCACCAAACATAAACGAACCGCTCACAACGAAGGAGGTGAGCTGCTGGACTTTAAACCAAAAATTAAGACATTTAACGTGAAAGCTGCGGGTCGGGCTCTCCTGAAAGCCATGGAAAAGGAGGACGCGGAAAAGGAATTTATATGCAGACATTGTCAAAAAGTTTTCGGGAAACGGAAATATTTGACAAGTCATCTGAAGAATGTTCATGAAGGGATGAGATATTACTGTGATGAATGTCAATATTCCTCTTCGTATCAACAGCAGCTTAAACTTCATAAAGACTCGGTGCACAGGGGTATAATACATGCTTGTGATAGATGTGAATTTGTCACAGCACTCGTCAGAAATCTGACAAAGCACAAAATCTTGACCCACGGGGATACAGGGATAGTGGAAGGAGGCCCCCTCTATCCATGCGAGGAGTGTGAATATGTTGCTGGTCTCCGGTCGAATCTGAGAATACACGTGGAAGACCGGCACAAAAAGCTTAATGTATTCATGTGCGATCAATGCGATCATAGAGTTTCAACCAAAGCAAACCTAGAGGCTCATATAGAAAGTAAGCATAAGAAAAGGATGAACTATCCCTGTGATTTGTGCGACTACATGACGCATAGTCTAGCATGTTTGAAGAAACATAGACTACGACATGACGGTCAACATTTGTGTGATCAATGTCCTTATATTGGGAAACTAAAGGCGGACTTAAACAAACATAAGAAGGTTAAACATGAAGGATTTGGATATCCTTGTGATCAGTGCAACTACTCTGGACCCGATAGATCGAAACTGAGACTGCACAAGGAAGCTGTCCACATGGGGGTTAAATATACTTGTGAAATTTGTGATTTTGCCGCCTCAACCAAGGATAATTTACGTCAACACAAGGCTTGCAAACACGATGATACTAAATATCCTTGTGATCTGTGTGATCACGAGGCGGCAACACCTGCAAGGTTGAGAAAACACATGAAGATTAAACACACTGATAACTCAATATCTCCTGTTAACCTTGCTAATTATTCAGATGATCGTTACAAGAGCGAAGAAGAAAGATTTTAAACTGAACGTTTTTTTCTAATTATTTTCAAATGATCAACTTTAAATAGTTTGTATGATTTTTATTGTTACCTTAAATTTGCGGGGTGTACATTGTACAGTGTACAGTGTACATCCCACTCCCCAGTGTGATTTCTATTTACTGAAGTCTGAGGGATTGCTTTTCTTATTTATAGTTAACCATATTTATCTTGAAGATTTAATAACTCGTTAAGTGACGGTCGTATGTGATGTCATATGAAATGTCAACAAACTAGTTTTGAAGGATTTGAAAAAACTATCGTACACTTAAATCTGTGCATTTCTTCCTGTATTGTACATTGTATATAGGGTCGGGTTCCAGCGAAAAGGTTAAATTGATTCGCGAAAAGTTCTCATTTTTTGCAAATCTTTCGCATTTTTTGCATTTCGTTTGCTATCGAAAATTTTCGATTTTTCGCCAAATTTCGGTTTTGTCTGTTTTTCTGGGAAAAAACGAAAATTTTGCACAAAAATACGGAAGAGAAATTATTTATTATGATATAACAAAACTAACACTTGGACCATTGTGGGTGCAAATTGAAAGATTGGGGTTTTAGGATCCCGGCCCATATTTAGAGTAAAAGTCGATAGTAAAAAGTTGAAAACTATAACCAACATTTTATTTAGCTTCACAAGAACAACAATTCCAAACTTTAAACTATTTTTTTTTTCAATTAAAATTATTTATTGGAGTTATTTTTTTTTAAAACCCTTGACCGCTTTCAAGACAATGTTAGGTTTTCTATTTTCAAACATATCTTGAATTTGAAATATTGTCACGTTTTCGAGACAAAACCCACTTTCCCTTTTTGAGTATAAAACTCAATTTATATTTATATTTAGAATATAATATATTTAGAATCTAAGTATTTACACTTTATTTGTTAAATAATAGAATAAAGTTTAGTTTTCCTGCATTTTTAACAATCAATTTCCCGCAGTTCTAGTTAATCTACATTGATAATTTGATTTCCTAATGCCGTAATGTTGCTTTAATTTCAAAAGAACAATATGTTTTTATTTTATAATTTAATTATATTTTACCATTTCAAGAAATCTTGTTTTGTAACTAAGTGCGTAAATACGTTAAAATTGACATTGATATGAATTCGAGTAATTGTCTCCAAACAGAATATGTTCCCAAATAGGGATATGTTCGAAAATTAAAACAAGGCTTATCACAAACTAATTCTCACACCTCATTTTAAGTTTATAGTTAACATTTTTTTGTAATAATAAATAGTTTCAGCCATTTCTTTATTGTTAATTTATTGTGTAGTTTTGTTTAACTCGGCTTTGATATAAAGATATATACTGACAAGGGCATATACAGGATATACAGAAATAAATATGGTGTAGGGTGGCAAAATATGCGCGATTATTTTTTGCCCCCCCCCCAAAAAAAAAAAAGCTTCAGGGGGGGGGTGGCAAAATTAGAACCGTAAATTCAAAGTATTTGGCTTCTTGGATAGTTTAAAGGTACACTTACAGTCCAATTACCTCACAAGTACTACTTTATTTCTCCTTCAACCAAAACTAGCAAAAAAAAGCAAATTAATTTTTTTAGTACTCTTTTACTCTTCATTTTCAGATTTGAAAAGTGTGATTGCTTTGAGTTTTGGGGGGGAGCAACGCCTCGCCTCTTTACAGGTCTAGGTGGGGGCACTGCCCCCCCCCTGTATACGCCCAAGTGTATATACGCTTGAAAAAGATAACTTTGCAGATTTGGTCCATTTCTTACATAGTGTTAGAAATGCGCCAATTGTTAATTTTAGAACTAATTTTTCCTGCAACTGATCATCATTTCTTAGTTATCATTGTTAATTGTTCTATTTTGTGTTCATTACGCAATAAAAAAAACTTTTAAATTAAGTTAAAATATATTTGTTTTATTAGCGGAATCTTTATATTCTTTAATTTGTATTTCCGTTGCCCGTTGCCTTGGTAGTGTGGCTTCTTAATAATTTGGACACTTTCCCTACAATATTATTTTATGAATGCATTGAATGATAAACGTCAACAAATAAGTATTTCAGTTTGAAAGTAGTAATACCAGAAAAATATAAAAATTTGTTCGTTTCGAATGTCTTCTTTCTTTCAAAGAATTCAAAACGTAGATATTTTAACTTATCTTCCGTGCATATGAAAAATTATGTAATAATTAGTCTTAAAAATGTAAAAGAATCTATTGAAATATTTTGAGATTTGATGTTAGTGACCGAAATAAAGTAGCCGGGGCATTTTCTTATGCCAGGACGCTTTTTAGTGTGACACCGGCTTCTCCTATCTGTACTGCTAAGTTTCTTTAAATTCGACCTGAGACCAAATTTAATGAATAACGAAGTAGTTGAATTACGCTTAGACTTCTTTTAAACTTGAACCGCAGCACAAAAGAAGCATGGTTCAACTACGTCTAGGTAGTTCAACTACAGTTTTAACCAGAACTTCGGAGAAATCTAAAGAATTTATATAATGTCAATTTTTGAAGTGTCAAAAATTATAATTAAGAGATAGTTTTAATTGATCTAGTCATTTTTCATGGAATTGAAAAAGATCTGTCCTATCTCTATATATCTGTGCAACAGCTATGAGCAAGATATGATTGGTTTCTGGCCAATAAATCAGATATACCTAGATTAAGGAAGAGATGGTAAATATAATCTGTTTCCTCTCTTTATTATCTCCTGTTTGACTAATGTATATTGAGCAGCAAGGATCCTTATATTCAGGCCAAAATACATCAATTGCTTAGGTTGGACAGAAGAAAACAAGGTTATATCATAAGGTTGCAATTACTTTTAATGTCCTCCAATGTACGAAAATTTTCGTTTCCTTAGCATACATAGATAGAATCCGCATATGACGTCGCTCTCGCTCTACAATCAGTGACGTCATATGCGGATTTTATCTATCAATGCCTAGGAGAAGACATTTTTAATACATTGGAGCGTTTTGAGAGTAAGAAACCTTTATAAACAACCTTGGATGAAAGAATACAATAATGATGGACTTGTAGAGATTCTTACGTAATTCCTACTAGATCTTTGAGTCCTATTTAGAGCTTGTATACTGTCCTTTATACTTACAGGGCTACCCAAACAGGATGATACTGTAAAGGTGGCCTACAACTCTTATAATATGAAAATCCCAAGGTTATAACTCAAGTTTTCAACCTTGAATATAGTCTTTTCATGGTTTCCTTAATGATTGGGCAAAGAAATAAAGAACTTACAGTTGCAGGGAATAATGAATGGAAGTAAAGAGGCAGTATAGATTCCATACAGTCGTTTCTGAAGTCTCATCCTTTGTGGTTAACCCTGTATCTTCACCATAGATATAGCCCACCCTTGCAAATCTAATTTTCTAAACTAACCATAATATTCCTCCACTTCTTTTACAGTCAAAAGTCTTCAGGCAAAAACAATTTGCAGAGAAATAAAAACCTTAAAATGTGAACCTTTAAATATTCCAACTATCAACCTAGCCCCCAACCCCCACCCCCCTAGAGATTGAAACAATTGAAAATAGTGAAAATTACAAAATTTGTTTGTCTAATTTTAACATTCCTCCCCTCCTTACAAAATGTGTTTGTCCCCCAACCGGGCGCGTACACATGATTTTAGCCAGGGGGGGGGCAAGATTTGGCGCGAAGCGCGAAAAATTTTTTTTTGCCCCCCCCTGGAATTGTTATGTTCAAATAGTCAATTAACACCATAAAAATACACCGAAAAGACTACATTTTTGAGTGTTACTTACCTTATAGAGTCTAAAATTTATACTAAAATTTATTCCTTTGCTTGAAAAACTAACTTTAACTTTTTAACTTTATAAATTTATAAATTTGTCACTTAACTCCATCACAGCTAACTAAATCAATAATCACAGCATCATTAAAAAATCATATTTTCACTAATAAACGAAATTTCTTCTGAAATTTGTAGATAGAATTTTACTCCATCTACATATTCATAAACTCTTTTAAGCTTCAATTTTCTTGGATTTGCTTGCACAAACATTTCAATAATTTTCTCAGAAGTGAGCCATAAGTGCAAGATCGTTAGGTNGATATTTCAAACTATGAATTCTGTTAGATCGAATATCCTGAATTTGAAATATCAAAGGTTTACAACATCAGATTCCAAAGGTTTACATATTTGAGTTTGTGCCAAAGAGTCAATTCCTTTATAAATTGACTGTAAGAAAAAATAGAAAAATAGAAAATAGAATACCTTTATTACATCTTCCATCATGTTATAAGCATCTAATATGTCGAGGTCTTGTTTTTGCAAAAGTTTTAGTTTAAAGTATCTTAAAATTTTGTGTTAACATTGAATTTAGACAAATCCTTAGTCTTTGTCATTGTCAGCTGTTACTTTTTAAATTTATTTCCCTTTAATTTTGTATTTTCCAGGGGGGGGCAGGGCCCCCCCCTGGAACTCCCAGGGGGGGCAAGAGGACTACTGCCCCCCCTATGTACGCCACTGCCCCCAACCCACCTTTTATTTTGAATTTAAAAAATTTGTAACACTTTAATAATTTATTCAGTATTGTAGATTGTAGAGACAGCTTTCAGCTTTTTAATTCTATTTATCCACTGATACTGAAGCCATATAGTTTAATAAGAACTGATTTTTTCAGGAAATTAGTGACAAAATCAACCTTGGCTCCTGTATAGTCTAAAATATAAGTAAGTATTGTTCAAACAACCAACAGTTCAAACAAGGTTTTTCATGCTCATTTGAACTATTTTTTTCTTCATTTGAACTGTTTTAACAGAAATATTCAAATGACCCTTAAAAATAGTACAAATGAACAAAAGATGAACATAAATATATATTTTTTTAAAAATTCAAATAAACATGAAATTTAGTTTTTTTATGGGCCTACGAGGGGGGGGGGCCGGGCACCCTAGAGCGGCCCTGTAAAAATTGCTCAGAGGTGCACTTTTTCGTTTGAATAGATATATATGAAACTAAGAAAAATCCAAAATATTTTTTATTTTTGACCATTTTTTCCGGTGCCGTCGGAAAAAAACGTGATTTTTTGGCCATTTTTGAACTTTATTGATTTTATTTCTTAAAACTTTTATAAAATCCTAAGTTTTTGACTGAGAATAATGTTTTATATCATTTTGGAAATCCCAGTATTTTCTATATGGGTGCCCCCCCCCCCTAAGGGGAGGCACCCATATAGAAAATACTTTAAAATCTCACTTTTGCCCTTTTTGTTGGCGGATGTGTCTGTTTTAAATGAAAAAGTATTTCATAAATTAAAGAACAAAACACGATTGAATT